CCTGCTGGTTCTTACAGCCAGGAGTTATGGGGGGCTTATCTTCCTGGCACTTGAACGCTGGCCTTGGGGGCCTGATATGGGGCTTGGACTCCTCACTCCCAAGATACCCCTCCCAAATTTTTATCCACCGCATGTGGGTGTGGGACCAGCCTATTTCGTGTCTTCCCCTCTCTTACCAGTCTGGATGGACGTGAGTGATTTCTTTAATTCCGTAGTTGTCAGACTTCATTCAGCTTGATTATTGATAGTTCTAAGTGGTGGTGGGTCTATAGTGGAGTTGTAATTTTGATGTGGTTGTGCGAGGAGGCGAGCCATGTCTACCTGTGCTATCATCTTGACTGGTAGTCTTGCTTTTACTGTTTTTTAATGTGATTTTCAGAACAGACCAAAACTAAGTTTGAGTATTCAGTCTGCATTTTTTACCTTTCAACTTTTACACTTTAGCATTATTTGATAGTTTTTAAAATTTCTTACAGTCTTTGTCCATTTGGCTCTGGCTTACAACCTAGCGTAATGTCTTCAAGGTTTATCCATGTTGTATTATGTATCAGTACTTGGTTCATTTTGAAGGCTGGGTAATATTTTACTGTGTGTAAGCAGTCCAGAAGTAATACATTCACCCTGCCATTGACATCATATGCTCCTGACATCCGTCTGTTTACTTCATCATGCGTCAGCGAGGGAGGACCACTGAAGGAGAAAGTAATAGCCTAATGCCATGTCACAGTGCCTGCACTGTTCTCCTTAATTTATCTTAGCACAATGGGCATTTGATCATCACAGGAAGAGGATGAGTATGGTTAAATAAAATATTTTGAGAGAGAGAGAGAGAGACCACATTCACCTAACTTTTATTATAGTACGTTATATTTAATTTACTGTTGTTAATCACTCACTGTACGTAATTTATAAATTTAACTTTATCATAGTTATGTATTTATAGGAAACAACATAGTATATATAGAGTCCCATGTTGTTCATACATCCACAGAGGGTCTTTGAACATATCCCTGGGGATAAAGGAGGACTTATGTGTATTACATTTTGTTAATCCATTCATCTTTCAATGGACAGTTGAGTTTACATCTTTTGGCTATGGTGAATAATGCTGCTATGAACATTGGTATTGAAATATCTGTTCTGACTTCTTTTTTTTATATAATTTAAATTTTATTTTATTTTTATTATTATTATTTATTTTTTAGAGAGGGAAGGGAGGGAGATAGATAGAGAAAGAAACATCAATGTGGGGTTACTGGGGGCCGTGGCCTGCAATGCAGGCATGTGCCCTGACTGGGAATCGAACCTGCGACACTTTGGTTTGCAGCCCGCGCTCAATCCACTGAGCTACGCCAGCCAGGGCTGTTCTGACTTCTTATTGTATGTCAAGTCTTTTTGATTTGTCTTTAAAAATTTATTTTATTTTATTTTTTATTTCAGAGAGAGTGGAGGGGAGGGAGAAAGAGAGGGAGAGAAACATTGATTGGTTGCCTTCCATTTGTACCTCTACCAGGGATTGAACCCACAACCCAGGCATATGCCCTGACCTGGAACTGAACCAGATACACATATTAGGTATATTGGATTATAAGTGCAGGATGACCCTTAACCAACTGAGCCACCCTGGTCACGGCTGATTGTCTTTAAAAAAAAGTTTCAAATTTTGTTAATTCCCCTTGCTACTGCTTTAGTTTACAGGTTAGGTTCTAGTTACCTGTTGTGTGTGTACACTATTTTGGTAATCTCTGGTCTACTCAATGTCCTCTGTTTCCTCTTAAATTTTTTATTTTGAGATTAAGAAGGTTTATCTCCCTTAGATGCAAAACTGATCCTGTGGTTACACAGTTCAAATGAGGCTCCTCGCTGGCAACATTACAATGATCCAGGGTAACATGGTATCTAAGCTGTTTCAGGCCTGGACTCTGCCTGCTTGGTTTCCCACTCTTCTCATGTTATGATTCAGTGTTCCAAAGTACGTTGTTGTTGTTGTTGTTGTTGTTGTTGTTGTTGTAGTTGTTGTTGTTTAGGTCCTCATCCAAGGACAGTTCCATTGCTTTTTTAGAGAGGGAGGAAGGGAGAGAGAGAAGAACATCAGTTGGTTCCTGTCTCATACGACTGAGTGGGAATTGACCCCGTGGTCTCTCAGTCTGTGGTACATTACTCCAGTCAAATGAGCCACACTGGCTAGGGCTGTTTTGAAGTACTTTTAGTTCCAGCTGGGGTTTTTTCTTTCTTTTTCTTTCTATTTTTCATTCATGCATGCATTTGAGGGTTCTAGGCCCTCATACTGGAATTCGCTCCTTAATAAGCAGTTTACCTTAAAAAATTCTGCTTAGGTGTCCTATATGTCCTTTAGTTAATATTTTCCCCCTTCTTAGTGTTATTCTTTTATTTTTAAGGGTATTTTTAAAAAATTAAGGTAGATAAGGGCTATTTTGAATGATGTATGTAATATTACTGCCAGGACCACTATGTACAGGTAAGAGAGGGGAGGCTTTATTTCTTGGTTTCTTCCTCCTTGGGCAGAATCTTGATGATCTTCTTTCTTGGCCTGGAGCCTCTCTTCACCATGCTTGCCTCCTTGGTGTTAGATCTGGAGGTCTCAGTCTAGTCAGCCAGAAATTTCTGTAAGCCTTGTCTGCCTTCAACTCGTGCGGGTGTTCCATAAGAATCCACTTGTTTTCTTACCTTTTTTAAAAAAAGATTTGTATTTATTTACTTTTAAAGAGGGGAGGGAGGAAAAAGGAACAGAAACATCATTGTGTGGTTGCCTCTCATGCATCCCCTATTGGGGACCTGGCCTGCAACCAATGGATGTGCCCTAGACTGGGAATTAAACTGGCAACCCCATGGTTTGCAGGCCAGCCCTCAATCCACTGAGGCACACACCAGCCAGGGCTATTTTCTTTCTTTTTTTAAAAAAATATTTTTATTTGTATAGAGAGGGGGAGGGAGGGAGAAAGAGAGAGAGAGAGAGAGAGAGAGAGAGAGAGAGAGAGAGAGAGAGAAACATCAGCTTGTAAGAGAAACATGGATGGGCTGCCTCTGGCATGCCCCCAACTGGGGATCTGGTCTGCAACCCAGGCATGTGCCTGAGGGGAAATCAGAACCAAAGACCTTTTGTTTTGCAGCATGAAGCCCAACCCCCTGAGCCACACCAGTCAGGGCTGTTATTTTTTTTAAGTGAATGTTTGTTATTGGAATTATCATGCTTTTACCGTAATCTGTTTCTATATCTTTTACCTACTAGTCAGTGATATCTATTCTGTCCTCCCTATACTGCTGGCACATCATAAATGTTCAGTCTTTATTAGTTGGATTTACTTATTTATGGGAGAATGGTTTACTTCTCAAGTGAATTTTAAGAGCTTCTATATAGGCACACAACGTACCTTAGCAATGGTTTCTGTTGGTGGGTTTAATTTAATAGGTAAAGTTTAAGAAGTTAAGTTTTTTCATAACTTTTAAAATAGTCTGAACAGAAAACTGGGCTGTAATTTTATCATTAAGCATTTTTTATATGGAAAATCAAGCATTTCAACTACAGTTAATGAGAGCTGATCATAGGTATTCTGCATTCCTTGGTTTTACAGTTTTGTTTTGTTTTTTAAGATTTTATTTATTTATTTTTAGACAGAGGGAAAGGCGGGGAGAAAGGTAGAGAAACATCAGTGTGTGGTTACTTCTCGTGTACTCCCATACCGGGAGCCTGGCCCACAACCCAAGCATGTGCCCTGACTGGGAATCAAACCAGCAACCCTTTGGTTCTTGGGCCAGCACTCAATCGACTGAGCCACACCAGCCAGTGTGGTTTTATAATTTTGAAATTAGCATTTATAAAGAAGTTTCTATTGAAATTTACTTGACATTTTGGCTACTTTTACAGTTACTTCAAAGACAAGAGTTTTGAAAGTTCACACCTCTTTATACTTGTTCTAAAGTTCACTTTATAAGTCTGTCCACCCCCTCTTTTTCTTCTTTTCTTTTTTTCACTCTCAAGGAAGTACTCTTTTCCTGCTTTTCAAAAAAAGTATTTAGATTCTTTTTGTGTTTTGGAACAGAGTATGATTGTTGTGAGGGAATTAGATGTGAATTCATTTGAACTTAACATGATTTTCTTCCCTAGAAAGAGCCAAATCATTAAACTCTTTGTAGCACTGACTATATTTCTTTTGTGATATTTTTAACTGGTGTGAAAAATACTAAGTATGGGACATACATATATTAGGTATATTGGATTATAATCTTTTCTGAATGAGATTTGTATTTTTATTTGTATTTCTGTATTTTTAAATATCAAGTGACATTTGCTCTACAAAACCAATGTTTTACTCTGAATTTGCCCACCCTCTCTGGTCATTGGACTTACTGTGTCTATAAAATGGAGATCATACTACTTCTATCTTAACCCACGCATTGCACCTAGTGTAATGAGTGCCTGGCCCATAGTAGGAGCTCCATATGTGTTAGCATATTACACGTGGTGTCAAAACATTTCTCCTTATATTTTATATAAGGAGAAATATTTTTCTCCTTATATTTTAGCATGGTGTTTTTAGAGTTTGTGTGGTGGTTGGTTCTTGTTGATTATTATATTTGTGGTGCTGTAGCTTCTTATATGTCCTTTGTGTTTTCTAGTAATGAGGGACTTTATAGACTGATGGTACAAGGAGCTTTTAGTTTGTTGCTATATTAATTTGTGCTGTGATTAGCTAATCAGCCTCTAAGTGGTTTGGAATATATAGCTTATCAGCAGACTAAGCCATTGAGTGCTGTTGTAAACTCTTAAGCATTTTCTTGATACATTAATTGAACATTTAAAATTTTCCTTCTGTCGACCTATGTCAGAGTTTCTTGTTCTGTGGGGTATTTAGCTTGTTGATTTTTTTCTGGGTGGTGCAGGGGACAGAGGCTTCTTTGGCAATACTGTTTTAAATTTTATCTTGATGATGAACAGTCATCTTTTTAAAGTAATGACACTGGTTCTTATCCTTATCTAGTTTCCAACCGGAGGCCCTATCGACAGTACTATGTGGAAGCTTTTGGAGACCCTTCTGAGAGAGCCTGGGTGGCTGGAAAAGCGATTGTCCTGTTCGAAGGCAGACATCAGTTTGAAGAGCTGCCTGTCCTTAGGAGAAGAGGAAAGCAGAAAGAGAAAGGATATAGGCATAAGGTAAAAAAAAAAAAAAAAAGCCTCTTACTATCTTTTTGGGGGTGGGCAGGGAGGAGTCAAAGAAGAAGTATATTTTTGAAATATAAGCTATTCCCTTTGGTAGGAGCATACTTGTGAGAAAATAGGTAGAATGCAAGGTTTTTTGTGTGGAGGACATGGGACTGGCCTTCCAAATATTTATACTCAATATTTTGAGAAATGATTCCAGCTAATTTTTGTCATGTCACTTAGACAATACCAAATGGCAAAAGCAATCTTCTGTGGTTCTATCTTATGTAAGAAGAAACTGATCATCAAAATGAAATATTCTGCTTATTCCCTGGATTAATGATTCTCTTAAAAATGGAAAAAGTAAAGCTTTAAACATTTTTGTTTTGGGTTTTGTGTGCAGTTGTTACTGCTTAAGTTTGCAGTTTTATACCTGGTTATGTTTTAATAAAGAACGTGATGTTTTGTTAAAGTTGGCTGAGTAAAATTCATTATAGTCAGTTCTACAAGGGAAAATAATTCCTCTTAGATTGGTGTTTCATACTTCTCTGAGTATAAATACTTTAGATTACTTTATAAAAATCATAATTAGAATAATTTAGAGTCAGTATGCAGTCTCTGCTATTTTAATTTCAGTTCTCTGAGGACTGACTAGTGTCTTCAACTGAAAAATTACTGTAATCTTAAGTTTTTGTACAACTGTTGTGGATTAGAAGTATTTATAAATATTTACTATGTCATCAGGTTGATGCTCTAAAACAACTACCATGTGCTGCTGTCAGGATAAAGGAGGCCTGTAACTGTGTCCTTTCTAATCCTTTGTGAGGTGGTAGGAGGTATCCGAGTTTTTGTGTCACACCTTTAGCTGTATATGTAGATTAAACAACTCCCTTCTTTTGATGACTTCATTAGAGCTTTAAGGTTCTGGAAAATTGATTTACTCTGGTCATAGTCATGAGAATTAACACATGTGTTGTTTGTCTGTAAAGTAAACCAGATGGTGTTTATTGCCTTTGTAAGAGGAGGCTACCCTTCTAGGGACCTGAAGTTTTATATGCTCAGCAGAACATCCCTTTCACAAGGGTTAATTTGTGAATACCAAGTGAAGGTTAGAACCTTGACTAATACCTATTATACGAAGCCAAGGAGGTAAATGAAAATACGGAAAGTTGGGTATATTTCACAGAGCCTCAAATTACCTCATGCTGTGAGGAATCAAGAAAAGAGATTATGTAATTTGTTATATCCAGAGTATTTAGGTGTCTCTGGACTAAAAGAGTAAGCTCAGGAGAAAAGAGTAAGAGTAAAAGAGTAAAGCTCAGAGTAAGCTTACTCTGTTACTCTTGTTAGAATTCAGATTGTATGTAACATGTATAGAAGTATCTTGATTAGCAAAGGGCCTACTGATAATCAGAGGCTCAAATTTCAGATCTCCTATGGCAGGTCTTGACTCACTTGTTCTCCCTGTTCTCATTTTTTTCATATTTCTTATTTTCTTTTTATTATAAGATTTTATTTATTTATTTTTTTAGAGAGGGAAGGGAGGGAGAAAGAGAGAGAGAGAAACATCAATATGCGGTTTCTGGGGGTCATGGCCTGCAACCCAGGCATGTACCCTGACTGGGAATCGAACCTGCGACACTTCGGTTTGCAGTCCGCGCTCAATCCACTGAGCTATGCCAGCCAGGGCTTATAAATTCTTATTTAAGATATGTAGGGAGAAGGAGGAAGGGTCTGGTTATTACTTGATTTAGTCATGTGATGTTAATTAGTAATGTAATGCAGTCTAAGTTATGGTCCACTCTTTTGTCCTTACAAAGGCAGGGAAGATGGAGAGTTCATGAGATCAGTCCTTTCTCTAATGATAGATCTTAGTAGTAATGTAGTGTCGAAATCCATCAACTAAGCTCTGGGGGAGCTGTGGGTGTTAACCACCTGGGTGATCCCATACAAGGGGCTGGAAGAAGTGCTGTGAGACTTTGAAAAGCTCAATTGCGAGGTGTTCACTGATCATCTCCCTGTTGCCTCTCCTATTTCTTTGATAAGTGATAATATTTTTCTCCTTTAAATTTAAGGTTCCTCAGAAAATTTTGAGTAAGTGGGAAGCCAGTGTTGGTCTTGCTGAGCAGTACGATGTTCCGAAAGGGTCAAAGAACCGAAAATGTGTCACCAGTTCGATCAAATTGGACAGTGAGGAAGATATGCCATTTGAAGACTGTACAAATGATCCTGAATCAGAACATGACCTGTTGCTTAATGGCTGCTTGAAATCTATGGCTTTTGACTCTGAACATTCTGCAGATGAGAAGGAAAAGCCTTGTGCAAAGTCTCGAGCCAGAAAGACCACTGATAATCCTAAAAGGACTTGTGTGAAAAAGGGTCACATGCAATTTGAAGCACGTAAGGAAGAACGGAGGGGAAAGATTCCAGATGGCCTTGGTCTAAACTTTATTTCCGGGGATGTATCTGATAAGCAGGCCTCTAATGAACTTTCCAGGATAGCTAACAGCCTCACAGGAGCCAGCACTGCCCCGGGAAGTTTTCTCTTTTCTTCTTGTGCAAAAAATACTACAAAGAAAGAATTTGAGACTTCAAATTGTGAGTCTTTACTGGGCTTGTCTGAGGGTGCCTTGATTTCTAAACGTTCTGGGGAAAAGAAGAAAATTCAACGAGGTCTGGTGTGCAGTTCAAAAGTGCAGCTGTGCTATATTGGAGCAGGTGATGAAGAAAAACGAAGTGACTCCATTAGTATCTGTACCACTTCTGATGATGGAAGCAGTGATCTGGATCCCATAGATCCCAGTTCAGATTCTGATAACAGTGTCCTTGAAATTACAGATGCTTTTGATAGAACAGAGAACATGTTGTCCATGCAGAAAAATGAAAAGGTAAAGTATTCTAGGTATCCTGCCACAAACACTAAGGTAAAAGCAAAGCAGAAGTCCCTCATTACTAACTCACTTACAGACCACTTAAAAGATTGTACTAAGACAGCCGAGTCTGGAACTGAGACGTCTCAGGTTAATCTGTGTGATTTTAAGTTGTCCACTCTTGTCCGCAAACCCCAATCAGATTTTCGAAACGATGGTCTCTCTCCAAAATTAAACACCCCATCAAGCATTTCCAGCGAGAACTCACTAATAAAGGATGGGGCTACAAATCAAGCTCTGTTACATTCAAAAAGCAAACAGCCCAAGATTCGAAGTATAAAGTGCAAACATAAAGAAAATCCAGTTGTAGTAGAACCTCCAGTTGCAAATGAGGACTGCAGTTTGAAATGCTGTTCTTCTGATACCAAAGGCTCTCCTTTGGCCAGCATTTCCAAAAGTGGGAAAGGGGATGGGCTAAAACTACTGAGCAGCATGCATGAGAAAACCAGGGACTCGAATGACATAGAAACAGCAGTGGTGAAGCACGTTCTGTCAGAGCTGAAGGAACTGTCTTATAGATCCTTAAGTGAAGATGTCAGTGACTCGGGAACATCAAAGCCATCAAAACCATTGCTTTTTCCTTCTGCCTCTAGTCAGAATCATATACCTATTGAACCAGACTACAAATTCAGTACATTGCTAATGATGTTGAAAGATATGCACGATAGTAAGACCAAAGAGCAACGGTTAATGACTGCTCAAAACTTGGTTTCCTATCGGAGCCCTGGTCTTGCGGACTGTTCTACCAGTAGTCCTCTAGGGACTTCTAAGGTGTTGGTTTCGGGAACCTCCAATCACAGTTCAGAAAAAAGTGGAGATAGCACTCAGGATCCAGTCCATCCTAGCCCTAGTGGGGGTGACTCTGCACTAACTGGGGAATTGCCTGCCTCCCTGCCTGGCTTGGTGTCAGACAGAAGAGACCTCCCTGCTACTGGCACAAGCCGTTCGAACTGTGTTACTAGACGCAGCTGTGGGCAACCAAGGCCATCATCCAAATTGCGAGACGGTTCAGGCCAAATGGGAAAGAACACAGTGAACCGTAAAGCCTTAAAGACAGAGCGCAAAAGAAAACTGAACCGGCTTCCAGCTGTGACTCCAGAAGCTGCACTGCCAGGAAACAGAGAGAGTGGGTGTTCAGAGAATGGCTCCTTGAGAGGTGGACCAGAAGACCCTGGTAAAGAAGAACCCCTTCAGTTAATGGGCCGATTAACAAGTGAAGATGGTGCTCATTTTTCCAATGTTCATTTTGATAACAAAGTCAACCAGTCTGACCCTGACAAAATTCCTGAAAAAGGCCCCACCTTTGAAAACAGAAAAGGTCCAGAGCTGGACTCTGAAATGAACAGTGAGAATGATGAACCCAATGGTGTTAATCAAGTGGTACCTAAAAAGCGGTGGCAGCGTTTAAACCAAAGGCGCACTAAACCTCGTAAGCGCATTAACAGATTTAGGGAGAAAGAAAACTCTGAGGGTGCCTTTGGGGTTCCGCTTCCTGCTAACCCTGTAAAGAAAGGGGATGAGTTTCCAGAGCATAGACCTCCTCCTTCGACGAACATATTGGAGGATGTGCTGACAGATCCAAATCACACTGGCCACTTAGATTCAGTGGGGCCGCGGCTGAATGTTTGTGATAAATCCAGTGCCAACACTGAGGAGATGGAAAAGGAGCCAGGAATTCCCAGTTTGATCCCCCAGCCTGAGCTTCCTGAACCAGGTAAGGATTCCTGACTGTCAAAGAAAGGGATTAGAGGAAGTGATGACAATGATCCCCTCTGAAGTTCTTATGGAAGGGCCTAGTGTAAATTGGAAGGGAAGGATCATTACTTGAAGAAAGGGCTTTATGCAGAAGGGCCCGAGTTTAAAGGACCAGCTTTCCATATACTTTCAGAAATTAAGCTTTGTTAGAAGCACTTTTTTCCCTCTTTTTGCTTTTAGTAAGTTTCAAGAACATTTTGTTGTGTTCCCTACTTTTTTTGAAATCTGCAAATTTTGGGGGACTCCATCTGGTATTGTAGGTAATTGAGAGGCTCTGAACCTAAAAATTAAATCTAGTGTTAGTTTACAGAAATCAAATAGATTTTATTGAATGTTAAGCTTTCTTTTTATTTATTAATCCTCACCTGAGAATATGCTTATTGATTTTAGAGAGAGGGGAAGGGAGGGAGAGAAACAATGATGCAAGAGAGAAACATTGATAGGTTGTCTCCTGTATGTGCCCTGACCAGGGATCGAACCTGCAACATTTTGGTGTATACGATGATGCTCCAACCAACTGAGCCACTTGGCTAGGACTGTACTTGTATTTTTTAGTATATTCATAGACCAGTGTGACCCACCAGTATGATCAATTTTAGAACATTTGAATCACCCCAGAAAAAGAAACCTTATACCTTTATCAGTCTCCTTCATTTCTCCCCCATCTATAGCTTTGCCTATTCTGTGTATTTCATATAAATGGAATCATACAGTATGTGATACTTTTGTGTTTCATTCTTTTCTTTAGCATGTATCAATGCTTTATTGTGGTAAAAAAACACATTTACCCTCTGAACAAGTTTAAAGTGCACATCAGTATTAAATACAGGCACATTGTTGTACAATAGGTATATAGAACTTTTTCATCTTGTGTGTCTGAAACTCTGTACCTGTTGAACAATAACTTTTCATTTCCTTCTTTGCCCAGCCCTAGCAACTACCATTCTCTTTCTGTTTCTGTGAATTTGATTTTTTTAGATACCTCATATAAATGGAGTTGTAGTATCTGTCCTTTTGTGATTGGGTTATTTCATTTAGCACAGTGTCCTCAAGGTTCATCAATGTTCTGGCATGTGACAGCATTTCCCTTCTTTTCTGAGGCTGAATAAAAGTCCATTGTATGTAGATACCACATTTTCTTGATATACTCATCTATCATTGGACTTTAGGATGCTTCCATATCTTGGCTATTATGGATAATGCTGCAGTGAACATAAGATAGTGTTTTCAGTTCTTTCAGCTATATACCCAGAAATGGGATTGCTGGGTCATATGATAATACTATTTATAATTTTTTGAGGAATCTTCATACTGTTTTTCCATAGCAGCTTCAACAGTACTCTAGGGTTCCAATCTCCATATACTTGCCAATACCTGTTATTTTAATTTATTTTTTAGATACTGATCATCCTAACATGTGTAAGGTGACACCACATTGTGGGGTTTTTTGGCAGTTCCTGTTGATTAGTGATGTTGAGCATTTTTTCATACGCTTATGGGTCATTTGTATATCTTCTTTGAAGAAACATCTATTCAAGTTCTTTGCCCCTTTTTAAGTTGGGTTAGTTTTTGTTACTAAGTTGTAGGAATGCTTTATTCTGCATAGTATGGTTTGAGTATATGGTTTGCAAATACTTTCTCACATTCAGATTTTTTCACCCTGTTAGATTGTTTGCTGTGCAGAAATTTCTACATTTGATATCATACAATTTGTCTATATTTGCTTTTGGTGTTGTATCCAAGAAATCCTTGCTTATTCCAATGTCATGAATCTTTCCCCCTAATTTTTCTTTTAGGAGTTTTATAGTTTCAAGCCTTAAATTTAGTTGTTTCACCCATTTTGAATTCTTTTTGTATATGGTGTAAGGTAAGGGTTCATGTTCATTCTTGTGCATGTGCATATTCACTGTTCTCAGCACCACTTACTGAAGAGACTATCTCCATAGCGTAGTCTGAGCTCCACTGTCAATGCTACTTGGATCATACATATAAGAGTTTATTTCTGGTTTCTCTATTCTGTTCCATTGATGTATATGTCTATCTTGATGGTAAGCTCATACTGTTTTGATTAGTGTAGCTTTGCAGTATGTTTTGAAAACAGGATGTTAGAGGCCTTCGTGTTTTTCTTTATTATCAAGGTTATTTTGAAAGCAAACAAACAAACAGGAAAGATTATTTTGGTTGTTTTCAGGGTCCTGAGAGATCCCATGTTAATATTAGGGTGGGTTTTTTCTATTTCTACAAAAAGTGCCCTCAGGATTTTGGTAGGGCAGCAGTGAACCTGAAGATTGCTTTTGGGTTGTGTGGACATCTGACAGTGTGAAGTCTTCCTGTCCGTGAACATAGAATATCTTCCCATTCACTTGTCTTAAGTTCTTTCAGCGGTATTGTATCACTTTCAGTGCCCAGCTTTTCCACACCCTTGGTTAAGCCTACTCCTGAGTATTTTATTCTTTGTGCTATTGTAAATGGGGTTATTTACTTAATTTCCTTTTTGAATTGCTCATTATTAGTGTATAGAAACAATGGATTTTTGAATGTTGATTTTTGTATCCTGCAGCTGTACCGAATTAGTTAGTTTTTACAGGGTTTTGTTTCTTTGTTTTGTGGAATCTTTATGGTTTTTTACATACAACATCATGTACTCTATGAACAGAAATCATTATACTTTTTTCCTTTCCAGTTTGGATGTCTTTTATTTCTAATTCTTGCCTGATTACTCTGGCTTGGAATTCTAGTATTGTGTTAAATAGAAATGGAAAGAGTGGTCATCCTAGCCTTGTTCCTGAGCTTAGAGAAAAAGCTTTTGGTTTTGGTTTTGTTTTTTTACCATAGAATATCCTGTTAGCTATGGGATTTTCACATGTGATCTTTATTATGTTTAAATAATTTCCTTCTATTCCTAGTTTGAGTGTTTTTATCAGGAAAAGTGTTGAATTTTGTAAAGCCTTTTCTGCATCAGTTGAGATAATCATGTGATTTTTTTTCTTCATTCTGCTAATGTGTTGTATTACATTTATTGATTTTTATGTATTGAACTGTCCTTCCATCCAAGGAATGAATCCTGCTTGGTCATGGTATATAATTCTTTTAACGTGCTGCTGTTGGATTCACTTTGCTAATGTTTGCTGAGGATTTTTTTAAAAGATATTTATTTTTAGAGAGGGGGTAAGGGAGGAAGAAAGAGAGGAAGAGAAACATCAGTGTGTGGTTGCCTCTCGGGGGCCCCCAGCTGGGGACCTGACCCATAACCAAGGCATGTGCCCTGACTGGGAATCAAACTGGCAACTGGCCCTCAATCCACTGAACCACGCCAGGCAGGGCTCTTCTCTCCCCCTCTCTCTCTCTCCCCCTCTCTCTCTCCCCCTCTCTCTCTCTCCCTCTCTCTCTCCCCCCTCTCTCTCCCCCCTCTCTCTCTCTCTCCCTCCCTCCCTCTCTCTCTCTCTCTCTCTCTCTCTCTCTCTCTCTCTCTCCCTCTCTCCCTCTCTCCCTCTCTCCCTCTCTCCCTCTCTCCCTCTCTCCCTCTCTCCCTCTCTCCCTCTCTCCCTCTCTCCCTCTCCCCCGCCCCCTTTGGTTAATTTAGCCAAGGGGTTGTCAATTTTGTTTACAGAAAAACAACTCTTAGTTTTGTTGATACTTTTTAAATTCTCTTTTGCTTATTTCTGCTAATATATATTATTTCTGCTAACATTGGGTTTAATTTTCCCCCCTCATTCCTAGAGGTATAAAATTAGGGTGTTGATTTGAGAATCTTTCTTTATTTTTAATGTAGGTAGTTTCTTCTATAAACTTTCCTTGTAGAGAACCTTTGGAAGTTTTGGCATATTAAGTTTTCATTTGTCTCAAACTATTTTCTAATTTTTTATGGAATTCTATAATTTTTTATAGTCTCCATAGTTTTGCCTTTTTCCAAATGTCATATAGTTGGGATCATATAGCATATAGTCTTTTTAGCCTGGATTTTTTTCCCACTTGGTAAAATGCATTTAAGTTTCTTCCATGTCTTTTCATGGCTCAATAGCTCATTTCTTTTTAGTGCTGAATAATATTCCATCGTCTGGATGTACCACAGTTTATTTATTCATTCACTTACATCTTGATTGTTGCCAAGTTTTCACTATTAGGAATAAAGCTGCTAGAAAGAGCCATGTAAGTGTCCAGCTCCTTTTACATTATCTTTAAATAAACTAAACGAGATATGAGTTTGAGTTAGTGTAAAGAATTATTTCTCACATTTTGTCCTAATGAAGGTATTATGGCTTGTTTCCATGTATGGTCTCTGAGGAGTGTAAGAGCCTTTGCCAGGCTTGCCTGTGATTTTTTGTTTTTGGTTTCAACTTTTGTGTTCCTTTTATTGAAAGAACATCAGCATTGCCACATCCAGCTGAGGCAGAAACAGCTTCCTCTGAGATCATCGTAGCCTGGAACCCCTATTGCTTCTTAAGTAGACTGTATCCTGAATTCTGTAAGCATTACCTTCCGCTCTTAAAGAGCTTACAGTACAGTACAGTGACTATAACATGTTGAGTGTATAAACATGTGAGTTTTATAGGGAAATTATAATAGATATTTGTTTCATTAATTCAAAGAAAAATGGTATGATACTTTGATATTCTGACCACAAAACACAAGAGGTTTTTTAAAAGCAAGTACCCAAAATTCTATATTTTCATATTGTTTTCTGACTTTGACATACATGGTATACATTTTTTTAAATGTCATTGAGGTAATGGTATACAAATAATTAAATCTGTATTTTGATGATTCTGTTTGGAAGTATTTGTTTTCTAGTGTGAAACTCACTGCAACCCTGATAATGAAGTATATGCAGAGTGCTTTTGAAATTCATGTGTTAGTACTGATTAGTAAATATTCTATCTGAATATCCATCCAATATTCTTCATAATCCAGAGAGATGTTACTTAAAATAAGTTGTGATGTATTTTATGGTTTTATCTGATTTAGTATCTGTATTTTAATGTTAATTGTGTCTATGACTATAGGACACTAGAACTTAATCTTTTGTGCAAGATTGGATAGTCTGTGTGTTGTGTCTACAGAGCACTGAAATTCTTTCCCTCCCAACTTTTGCATATGATAAACCATAGCAAATTATTTTAGTCTCTTGCTGCTTAAGCCACAGTATTTTTGACAGTTTTCCATCTGTGTACCTTTTGGAGTACAGAGATGGATACATGAAAACACTGGGTTTTCTTCTTTCTTTTTAATTAATTCTGAACTTGTTTCTCTTCTTTTAGTTGTGCGGTCAGAGAAGAAACGCCTTAGAAAGCCAAGCAAATGGCTTCTGGAGTATACAGAAGAATACGATCAGATATTTGCTCCTAAGAAAAAACAAAAGAAGGTACAGGAACAGGTGCACAAGGTATGTTCCAACATTTCTACAATCTTTCATTAGTCTTTTAGGATGTTGCAGTTTGCCTTCAGTAGCGTATTTTGTCTTCATGGGACAATAATTTTCTTAACTGGGCTCTTACTTTTTCTGTTTTTACCTCCAGCTCTGGCACAATATTTAGCATATGCTAGTTACACAGGAAATGTATAAATGAGTCTTTGTACTCTGTGTGTGAGTGTTTCCTCCTTGTTTTCAAATTGTATTTAGTGATTTAGGAAAAAACGTTTGTAAAAAATGATTTAAAAATACAGTAGTATGATTCTAATTTTTAAACAAATGTTATTATACCTTATTTGATGTATTTTTTAATTCAATTTCTTTAAACTGAAGTATTTTATTTTATTATTATTTTTTAAAGGATTTTATTTATTTTTAGAGAGAGAGGAAGGGAGGGAGAAGGAAGGAGAGAAACATCAGTGTGTGGTTGCCTCCCACTGGGGACCTGGACTGCAACCTAGGCATGTGCCCTGACTGGGAATCGAACTAGCAACCCTTTGGTTCACAGCCCGTGCTCAATCCACTGAGCTACACCAGCCCAGGCTAAACTGAAGTATTTTAAAGTCAATCAGAGACATTTTGACTTTCTGTCCATAAGTAATATGCACCCCTAAAAAATAGAACCTTTTTCTTCATAACTGATATACCGTTATCACATCTAATAAGATTAGTTTATCTAATAACAAATCCACATTCAGATTTCCACAGTTTTCCCCTGAGCTTTACATTTGCTTTATCCAAATTAGGATCCAGTCTGTGATATCTGGTTGTTTTCTTTTTAAATATTTTATTTATTTATTTATTTTTGAGAGATGGGGGAAGGGAAGGTGAATGACAGAAACGTTGATGTGAGAGAGAAACATCAATTGGTTGCCTCTTGCCCACCCCCATTTGGGGACCTGGTCCATAACCCAGGTATGAGCCCTGACTGCAAATTGAATCAGCAATCTTTCGGTTCTCCGGCCAGCACTCAGTCCACTGAGCCACACCTGCTAGGGCCCTATCTGGTTGTTAAATTCAGAAAAGTCCCCCTTTTATGACCCTGTCTATCTAAGCAATGTAAGTACCACATTTGGTTAGTCCAGTTGTGTGTGATTGCTTCGTAATAGGTGTTATTAAGCTTATTTCTCTACCTGTGTTTCCTGTTAAGTGGAAGTTAATAACACTCTGATAGATTGACATTAAACATTTTTAGCTAGATTACATCATAGGTGATACTGTTAAATGTTGCATGGCATCAGAAGGCATTTAATTTAACATCTAATTGTTCACAGTGATGACTAACTGATTCCTCCCTTTTAAGTTAGGTTTTACCCCTTTTGATCAAGAAGCAGTACATGTGTAATTACTTTGGCTCCAAAAGATTGTCCTATTCCCCATCGTCCATTTCCCTGATGGCCCTTTGAGTATCAGTTAAAGCCCTGACTGCTGTGGCTTAGTGGGTTGAGTGTAATCCTGTAAGGTGAAGGATCTCTGGTTCAATTCCTGGTCAGGGTACGTACCCTGCTGGGGGCATGCAAGAGGTGGCTGATTGCTGTTTTTCTCCCTCCCTTCCCTTCTCTCTCCAAATAAATAAATAAATGTCCATTGAAAATCTTTGCCTGTATCAATTTTGTTGGGAATTAACAACATGAAGACTTTATCTCATTATTTCTTCTATTTTTATTAGCTGGCAATTTCTCTCAATATCTCTTATAAACTGAACCATTTTATTGTCTTGAAATACATGAAATACAGAATAAGTCCTCACTTTTCCATTTATTATATTTATCAACTTAACATTAAGAGTTCATTTTTAGCTGCTTTAATTGGTGTCATATTAGGGAATCTTTCTTTTTTAATTTTTTATTATCATAATGGCCTTAATGAATTTTTATGAGCTTTAGTGTATCTTAATCAACTACATTTTTACCCACTTTTTAAAAATTATAGTAAAATATATACAGTAGTCTCCCCATTTCTGCAATTTTAATTACCATAGTCAAAAAGTATTAAATGGAAATTTTCAAAAATAACCAATTCATAAGTTCTAAATTGGGCACCATTCTGAGTAGCGTGATGAAATCTTTGGCTACCCTGTTACTGCTCCTCCCAAAATGTGAGTCCTCCCTTCGTTCAGCATACCGTGCTGCATATGCTGCTCATCCTTCGTCACCTAGCAGCCCTCTGGGTTATCAGATCATTCATTGTGGCATCGCAGTGCTTGTGTTTAAGTCACTCGTATTTTATTTAATAATGTCTCCAAAGTGCAACAGTAGTGAGGCTGACAATTCTGATATGCTAAAAGAAGCCATAAAGTACTTCCTTTAAGTGAAAGTTCTGAGTTAATAAGAAACAAAACTATTGTACACTGAGGTTACTAACATCTACAGTGAGAATGAATCTTCTATCTGTGAAATTGTGAAGAAGGAAAAAGGAATTTATGCTAATTTTGCTGTTGCACCTCATGCAAACACTACAACCACAGTGCATGATAAGTACTTATTTAAGATGGAAAAGGCATTAAATTTGTGGGTGGAAGATATGAACAGAAAACATGTTCCAATTGATGGCACCGTGTTGTGCCAGAAAGCATTGAGCCTGTGTGAAGACTTCAGCAAGGGATCTGCTGAAATGAATGACACCAGGCCTTTCATGGCAGGTAAGGGATAATGACACAGATCCAGAAATATGTTTGTCACTTTATCATCTCATATTGCGAGAAGAAGAAGGGTAAGTACAGTATAGTAGGACATTTTGAGAGAGACTACAGTCACATAACTTTTATTATAGTACATTGTTATAGTTGTTCTTTTATTATTATTTATTATTGTTAATCTCATACTGTGCCTAATTTAAAAATTAAACTTCATCATAGGTATTTACATGTAGGATAAAACATAGTATATATAGGGGTCAGTACTGCCCAGGTTACCAGCATCCACTGGGCGTCTTTGAACATATGCCCTGTGGATACTACTGTATAACTTAAAATTTATGAAGCCATTTTGTAACCAATTTTTGTAACCATTTTTAGGTGGACATTTCTGTGGCATTAAGTACATTCATATTGTTTTGCAACTATTACCACTGTCCATCATCTCCACAACTTTTTCCTGTTCCCAAACTGAAACTCTGTACTTCCCTCTCCCAACCCCTGGCAACACCGTTCTGGTTTTTTCTTTCTGAATATTACTATTCTAGGTAATTCAAATAAGTGGAATCATACAATATTTACTTGATTTTGACTAGTTTACTTCACTTAGTGTAATGTCTTCAAGGTTCATTCCTATTGTAGCATGTGTCAGAATTCTATTCCTCTTTAAGTACATTATTCTTTCTAACACTCAAAATTACAAGTTTGGCCTATGGATTCTGTTTTTATATTTTGCTCTTAGGTAAGTTCCCGCTGTGAAGAGGAAAACCTTCTAGTGCGAAATCAATCTAATGCTCAGAACAAGCAGGTGGATGAGAATTCTTTGATTTCAACCAAAGAAGAACCTCCAGTTCTTGAAAGGGAGGCTCCATTTTTGGAAGGGCCTTTGGCTCAGTCAGATTTTGGAGGTGGACATGCTGAGTTGCCGCAGCTGACCTTGTCTGTACCTGTGGCTCTGGAAGTCTCTCCACGGCCTGCTCTTCCATCTGAGGAATTGCTAGTTAAAGCACCAGGTAAGATGGGAATGGGGGCTGAGTATTGTAAGTGGATATGATTAGAAGAAGCAGGAGATTTTAGTATGTTTTAATGGAAAGCCAGTGGTATATCTCTATACAATAAAAGTACCCACTTTTGTCCTGAGAAATCCTGAAATATTGGCTAAAAGGTTGTAATGATTGTAAATTGGTGGTGCACTGTTAAGAAGGCATTTTAAAAAACTACTCTCCTTACTCCATGTTGTTCTTTATGGTTGATCAACCACCATGTGAGTCCGCACCCAAGACAGCAGGGGTTTGGGGGAGAGGCACTGCACACTGTAGAGTGAGCACGTGAAACTCACTGTTCAGATACTGGCCCACCAATCCCTGTGTTGCTTGGGAAGTTGTTTAACCTCTGAATTTGTTTCTGCCTGTATAAAGTGGAGATCATAATGTAATGTGTAATGTAATTTACCTGACACAGAGTAAGCAGTTAGGTGTAAATATTCTCTCGGAGTGAGTTACCATGAGTTACCAATCGCTTTTCACTTCGTTATTCTCTGTGTGTGGGATCTAGACACACTGTGTCTAATTCATCCTCTGACTATTAAATATTGTAGTCAGCCAAGGGAAATGTTGGTTGTAACTTTTTACATTCCCAAGAATATCTTTACAAAAGTATCCTGATTGTGTTCAATGAAGTAATGCAGAATCAAAAAGACTTTAAATAGAATAATAAAGATAGTTACTATTTTATTACCTATTATGTGCCAAACTCTATTATTAGGCTTTTTTAACATAATATTTAAGAACAGTCTTACAAAGTAAATGAATATCTTTTATTTAGGAGCAGAACAAAAATTCTAATCCTGATTCATTTATGCCCAGAATTCAGGCTCTGCTTCACCTCACTTCTTTTACCCTTACCACCAATGAATTGCTATAAAGGCAGCTCTGTGTTTTTTATTTCTGCCTGTGTTCTATGTGACTTACGCACACACAGGAACATCCTTCCATTAGTTTGTCTATATTTGAGAACTGTTTTCTTATCTTATGTTAACTAACACTTTAGAGTAAATAAATTCCTAGCCGGTCCCTCCCCACAGGATGATGAGGAAAACAAAAAAATGTGACTCATTTTTGTGTGGTATATAGATTTTTAAAAATCAGTTTGTGCCCAGTTTCTATATGATCTAATTAAAAGGTACATGCATTTCAGGAAATTATGAAAGTAAGCGTCAAAGAAAACCAACTAAGAAACTTCTTGAATCAAATGATTTAGACCCTGGATTTATGCCCAAGAAAGGAGATCTTGGCCTTTCTAAAAAGGTATGTTATTGTGGTCAATTCAAATAATGCACATATACATAGAAATCACAGAATGTCAGTCTGAGAGATCCTATATTAAGAGGCTGTTTTGCATTTGTGTTTGCACATGTGTATCATTGGTTTTAGGGTATCTTGACAAAGGAAGATATTTGTGTTTGTTACGGTTTCTTTTATGGGCTCAAAAACTCTTACCAGATTCCTACTTTACTTATGTCTCTACAAGGCATTAACCTACTCACATCCCATTGCCCTGTCTGCATAAAACCTCGGAAAAGATCCAGTTGAGTGATAATTCAGGCAGAAACATTGGAATTTAAGTTTTTGAGTTTGCAAACTTGGTTTTATCAGCCAAGAAGGCATTGTTAAATAGTAGATGGAAATAGAAAATTGATTTTCAAATTTTATAATGGATAACAGCTGGATATTGATTCCTTAGGAAACCTCTTACGCCCCTTACTGTGAGAAGTAATGCATGGTAAATGTTAGAATTTTAGTTGTGTGATGTATAGATTTCCTATTAAAATTTTTTTAAAGAAAAAGTGTAGCTTATCAAATAATTTGAGTTTTTGGACTTTTTTGTTTAACTATAGCAAACTCCCATTTTTTAATCCTACATTAAGTTTTTATTTTTGTTGGCTATTCACCCATCTGTATTAGCGTGTAAATGTAAATTTTAGTTTGTGTTTTTATCCTTATTTTAAGAACTATACTATATCTTTTAATTCTTTTATTCTCCTCAAAGTAGTCTGATGACAAGGACTTTACAATTTTTTAGGCTCATCTTTTGCTCTCCAGACTTTCTCAGTTTGTACAGCCTCTGTGACAAGTGGCAACTCACCTTGCTGGCTTTGTGCTTTTCACTCTAGTAAAGCAGTGATAATTGCTTTCTGCAGTACTTCCTCTTCTGGCTTTGTGTTATTCAAATCCTAGCTATTTTGCAAGCTTCTTGGAAGAGGTTGATGATAGTGTCATACTGGGTAAATCATGGAAGGTGGTGGTTTTACTGATGGAGATTAAGAGATGCAAATTTCAAAGAAAGTAAAAATTCTGGCCAGTTAAGAAAATGAATTCCCCCCAGTTTTATTAAGGTATAATTGGCGTATGTAAGTGAATAATTTGAAGGAATAAGATGAATCCTCAATGGTTTTGAGATTTGATTGCTTGCAGTATAGTGTTAATTTGTATAATCTTGCTCCGTCAAATGTCATTTTCTAATCTAAAATGTGACTTGCCATGTTTGAGGGTTATTTTTCCCCCTAAGGAGATGAAAAGCATAATTAATGTATATATTTAACTTAAACTTACGTAGGCAAGTGTATCCGATCCGAGAAGTCTTTTCTTTTTCTTTCATTTTTTAAAAAGATTTTACTTATTCATTTTTAGAGAGAATGTAAGAGAGGGGGAAAGAGAGGGGAGAGAAACACTGAATAGTTGCCTCTCACATGGGCCCATCTGTGGACCTGGCCCGCAACCCAGCCATGTGCCCTGACGGAGAACTGAACCAGCGACCTTTCGGTTCCCAAGTCAGCGCTTAATCAACTGAGCCACACTAGCCAGGGCTCTTTTCTTTTTTTAATTGCAATATAATTGACACTGATAAGAGGCATAGACCTTAATTGTTTTGTGTGATAGACAGTTATATCTACCATGTAAGTACTACCTATCACCCCAGAAATTTCTCATGTACCTTTTTCATTCAGTTCCTCATTCTCATTTTTTCCAGAGGCAAGGCTTTCTTACTTCTGTCACTGTAGGTTACTTTTGCTTGTTCCTGAATGTTATATGTATTGTTTATTTTTGTTCTGGCTTCTTTTATTCAACGTTCATTTTTGAGGTACATTCATAGGATGATAATTAGTAGTTAATCCCAAGTACAATTTGCTTATTCTTTCTCTTTTGATGGACATTTGAAGTTTTCTTTTTGTAGCTATTAATCTTAAGGCAGGTGCAAACACTTCTCCCCAAGTCTGTTGGTGGACATTTTCATTTCTCTTGGTGTGGGATGCTGGTTCATGTGTGTTTATCTCATACATAAACACCATGCAGTTCTCCAAAGTGGTTGCGCAGCCTCACACCCCATAAGCAGTGTGTGAGAGGGTATATGGTCCACATCTTCGCTAGCTTTTGATTTGTCAGTCATTTTACATTTAGCCATTCTGGTGAATGTGAAATGATACCTAACTGTGGTTCTTTTTATATTTCCCTAACTAACAATGTTGAACTTCTTAGTATGTGTTATTCCTTTATCTTTTTGTAAAGTGACTGTTCAAGCATACATACAGTTTTGGTTGGGCTATTTATCTTTTTTATGGTTGCTATTTAGTAGTGCCTATTATATTTGTTATATAAGTTTTTTGTTATATATATGTAGTATAAATATTCCCAGGATAGGGCTTGCCCATTTATTTTTTTAGTTGTCTTTCATGAGACTATTTTTTATGTATTTTTTTCTTTTATGAGTAATACTTTTTGTGTTTATTTTATACACAGAAAAGTGTTCTTCCTGTGTTTTCTTTCAGGAGTTTGATTCTGGAATTTATGTACAGATCTTTTTGAAGAGATCTCCCCCCCCCCCCCCATATGGATGTCCAATTGTTCTAGGAGCATTTGTTAAAAAATCTTTTATATTTCTATAATTCTCTGTAAAATTTTTGTCTCTTTTTAAGCATTAGATGTAATTAATAACTCACTATTGAATTTTAGCTTTTTGTGATAAGGAGATGGGCATTATATTTGTCACTAAAACCATAGGAAACCACGATTATTGTTGATGACTAGAACCAGACTCTGGAGAGAGTAACCTCTGTTTCTGTTTTAGGAGTAGTCTTGACATCTAACCTGGGCAGCTTCACAGTTGAGGTCCTGGTTATTCTGAAGGATATTTTGTCATCATGTTGAAGCCATGATTCAGTTCAATCTTGGGTCTGCACCTTGGGCCACCCGTCTGTAGATGAATCAGTCATGGGTTAGGGAAGGAGGGATTGTCTCTAGAGGTGATGGTAACTTAAAGGTGCATGGGCGTGATTCCTGTTCACACCAGAGTATGTGCAGAGGAAATTACTGGCATTGCAGTCATGTCCTCCAGCATGTATGCTGAAGTCTGTGGTTATTGTCATTCTGAGAAGAGCTGATGGGTTTTTATTCATGTAGTGTGATTTTCTTTCTTTTTTTTTTTTGGTCCCGGTATATCTATTTTAACTTACAAAATAAGTTGATGAGGTTGGAAATGAGAATATTTTCTGCATTGTTCTCTGACTAGCTTTGGGAACATTCATTATTTTTGTTTTATAGCTTTTGGGTAAGGGTTAAACAAAGAACTATAAATTGGCTATCTGAATAATGGATGGTCTTTTTTTAAATATGCAAATTGTTTGTCTTCTAGTCTTTTGTTCCATTTAACTGGATACCTAACATTTGTTCCTTTAGTTTATTTGGCTTTGTAAGATTATGATATACATTTAACATGAAGAGAGTAGTATTCTTATGACTTACTAATGTATATGGTGAGCATTTGGAAATTCACAATTGTATTTCTTCTTGTTTTGACCTCAAACTTTGAAGACTATAGCAAGAATAGCATCCATTATATTGACTTTTTGTGGCCACTCAATTCTGTTTTACAGTCATGATGAAAAGTATTCTTGTGGGAGAAGACATTTTCTTGGGATGGAACTAATTCATACAAGCATTAGTAGAATAGGGGTACAATGTGTTAGGAGTTACTCTTCATATCTAAATGTTTTGTTTTGAGTCATTTTTGCTTTAATGTATATTCATTAGACATTCAATGATTTATAGTTATTTAATATTCAGAATTCATCAAATATCTGTATAAAATCTAATAACTATAAATACAATTTTAAGAAGGTAGATTTTTATATATAGGGTGGTGTGGAATAGAACTGAGATGCTGAATCTCTGGGTATACCCCTTCTCTTCCCTTTCCCACTCCAGTCAGAGCTATATTCTGTATCTGCTTTATATATTGGAAGACTCTCTCTCTCTCTCTCTCTCTCTCTCTCTCTCCTTGTTAAAGAGCATGTGGTGGTCATTAGTCTTTTGGAGCTTTTTTTTTTTTAATCTGGTGCCTTTCCCTATGAAGTTTTTGTTGAACCCTTTATTGTTATCATGCCATTCTTTCAGTTGTTTAAAAAATAGCCAGGATTCTGTACTGATGGCAATAAACCGTTCAGCTTTTGGCATATACTGTAGGGTCTATTTTTAAGTTACATTTTACTTATTTGTAGTGTTATGAAGCTGGTCACTTGGAGAATAACATTACTGAATCAAGTGCTGGATCTCGTTCTAAAGAGTTCGGTGGAGGTGAGTATTTTTGAGATTTAAAAAGTGTAAAGCAAAAGAGTGTGAAGCACCTTGTCAGTTAATCAGAAAAGTTGTTACATATGTAAGCAAGACCAATGAGGCTGTGAGTTCTAAGACTTGTTCACCCAAAATTTGTGTACTAAAGTTGTGCATGACACTAGAAAATTATATCAGCATTTTCAGCTTTATACTGAAATCAGTTAAATGAAATTAGAATTAGCACAGGGAAATTTTAGGAATAGTGGAGAAAAATCAGCTTCTTAATTTTCTCTTTGGAAAATTCTCCAGACTATATCATTACTTTCTTCTTGGTTTTGATTCAATTTTTAAATCTGTAGGACAGAAAGTAGGGAATCTGAGTTGAGAGGGAAATTACAAATCACCTAAGCCAGTCTTTGACAAACAGTTTCTTTTATCACAATTGTGACCTTTAGTTTGTGAGCATATGCTTGAAAAAGAGAGCTTATATTCTAGCCTAATTATGGTTGCTTCTTAAGGGCTTGGGAGTCTTTAGATTAAATTGGAGTCTGACTCCTGGAACTTCTGCTTAATCATTTTCTCTTCACCCGCAGGCAGAATGGGCAACCCTTCATTCGATAATGTATATAGTAATCATAGTTGGAGCGTTTATTCTACCAAGTCCTTTGCGTAGGACTATTACTGCTAATCAGTCTAAAGCATTATAAAGAGTTAGGATATTATCCATATTATCTCTATTTTATAGAAGAAACCTGAATGTGAAAGAGGTGGCAGGTGTTGGGGAACTAAACCCAGACTTGACCAAATTAATTGCCACACTACTATCTTATTATTCACCCCAGATTTTTTTCGTGCCAATTAAAAAAAAAATCCTTGCCCAAGGATATGCTTATTGATTTTAAAGGGAGGGGGAGAGGGAAAAGGAATCAATTGGTTGCCTCTCATACGCGCCCCAACTGGAGGTCAAACCCACTACCTTTTGGTGTATAGGACGATGCTCCAACCAACTTAGTACCATACCAGGGCCATGCCAGGTTTTTGATCCCCTTTGATCCTTTGTCTGCCAGTGACATTTATTTATTACTATCATTCCTGAGGCATTAACCCAGATTTGAGCCCACTGCATCAGATGTGGTCTGCCAGCAAAGGGTATCATGGGACAGTTATATTTTCTGTGGTCTTAAATGCATACTTCTTAAAGGTGATCATGATTATTAAATTTTCTAGTAAGTAAATCTAGCAGTATGTTAGATTATTTTAACCTTGTGCTTATTCCTTAGGTTTATCAATTTGCTTTCTTTCTTTTAAAAAAAAAAACTTACAAAATAGTATCAGCTCTATCCTATACTTTCATACTTTAGTTTTAAATAAAACCTACAACCTGCACTTTATCCTTTGTATATTTCATCTAAATATTTCAGCTTGTGAGAATTTGAACCTTTATTTTGCCATTATATTAACTCTTCCTTTAGTCATAGGCTATTAGTAGATTTGATAGCAGAGCTGCTTCATCTCCATTAGGCAGTCCAAGAGAGCAAAGGTAGTTTCCCAAAGTTCACCCTTTATGTTGGTACCTAGCTGATTAGTAAATACATTTTCTCCCCATCTACAGGATGTTAAAGTCCTTTGAGGAGCTAGAAAGTCTTTAATTTCAGCCAGGGAGGACAGTGATTTTTAACCGGTGTGCTGCAAGAATTTTTAAAACATGCAATGCCTATTTAGTCAGGGGCACTCACTTTTTTTCCCTTAGATTGTCAAATAAAAAATAAATGACAATAGCCAACACAACAGTAGTTGTCCGTGTGATTGAATCAAAATCATACCTTTTTTTTTTGGTCAGATCAACAAAAAATACATATTTTTGGTGTTCCCCAGGTTTTTTTTAGACTTTATTTATTTTTAGAGAGAAGGGAAAGGGGGGAGAAAAAGGGAGAGAAACATCAACGTGTGAAAGAAACATCAGTTGGTTGTCTCTTGTACAGGCCCTAATTGGGGCTGAACCCACAACCCAGGCATGTACCCTGACTGGGAATTGAACTGGTGACCTTTCTCTTTTGTGGAATGATGTTCAGCCAGTGTGGCACATACCCTGACTGAGCCATACCAGTCAGGGCATTTACTGTGGAACTTTAGTAGTTTATGTGTGCCATGAGGTGAAAAAGATTTAAAATCACTAATGTGAAATGAAATTGCTTTAATAACCTACTTATACATTTATTATTTAATCTGTATGAGGCAGAATTTATACGTATGTAGCTAATTTCCAAACTACTTATGTAGTCATGGGTAAGTCTCTTTTCTTCTCTGCCCCTGTTTTTCTCATTTCATTTCCCAGTTGGAGAATTAAACAGGTTTTAAGGTTAGTTTCTACTCTAACATTCCATAATTCTATGAGGTTCCTTTAGTTGAGGGTAGGAGTTCTTGGACATGTATATTATTTGCTGGCAGGTAACACCTGTTTTCTTGTTGTAGGCACGACCAGGATGTTTGATAAACCAAGGAGGCGGAAACGACAAAGGCATGCTACAGCTAGGATGCATTATAAAAAACTGAAAAATGAAGACTCATCAAGAGATACTCCAGGCTCAGAGGTATTACTCAGTTCCTAATCTTTTGACCTTGCAAAATGAAACTACTTTTCACAGTAGAGGCCACATCCCTTTTTCCCTTGAGTTCTCTTAAGAATAGTATTCTACCGAAATGGTTAATGGCTATAAGGAATCCTGGAGAAACAGAGTATATAGCCTGACCCTAGTAAAAATCAGTCATGGCACATGTGGCATTTGTGGGTATGACCTTTTTATAAGATCACATCCTATGCTGTAGGTGTCAGATGAAATAATATAACTGTTTCATCAGAAAAGTAAACTTTTTCTAAAAACCAAAGAGCACAATATCCAGTAACCATGCAATCCAAATGAACTTGGATATTACCCTTTAAAAGAGTTGAGACGGCTGCAGTTAGGGGCAATACTCTTTTGCTTATTTCTCAAAATCATCAATGGCTTGATTTTAGACTGCTATTTGTAAACCTCGACTTTTAGGAAGTAGACATAGATTTAAAACTCTTTACTTGTAGAGCATCAGTGTAGTCATTGATGCTATGTCTGGCTTTTACAACTCAGGTGAAAAGAGCATTATTAGAACAGGTTGGGCCAGCATCATACATTATATGTAAGGAAAAGTGTTTCTTTCCAGGACAGTTTGAATAGAGTGCCCAGGAGGGGCATTATTTAGGAAACACTGATCTTGGAAGGACAAATAAGTAATCAAATAAACTTAAGAATGTTTTCTCTCCCTTAGTGAAACCTTAAAATGGAACAGCTCAAAAAGTTCCAGTGGAACAGCCTCAGAGCAGTTAGTGGCAGGGCATGAGGCGCCCACTACCCGCCCAATCACAGCAGGGTTAGAACTAACATTGCATGCAGTCCGCCCGCGTGATTGGCTGAACATCTGTAAGTGCTGATGGCTAGACAAATAGCAGCCCAGAGGGAGGGGGTCACATGGAGGAGACATCAATAATGCAGATGTTGGACTTTATTTTTTCTCTGCAAGGGAGACCTGATGACACACAGGGCGGCTGCAAGCCCCAAGGAGGCTGTTGAAGAGGGCATAGACAATGACCACGGGATGCCCGCGTCTAAAAAACTGCAGGGTGAACGAGGCGGAGGAGCTGCACTCAAGGAGAATGTTTGTCAGGTAGAACATGTCGCCCACTTGCCTTTCGATTGTATGCTTATCAAGAGAAGCCCTCTCCATCTCTTAATGGTCCAATCTTGATTAGAATAGTAATTTTATTGGATTATTCCAGTGGAGTCACTTCCCTTTGAAGATTACCCCTTTTCCTTCCCCACTCAAGGAGAAAAGAGAAGTATTTATTGTGACAAATCACTTGCCCTTGTTGTGCATGAGGAGATGTCTTAAAACAGGTCTGAGGTGGAAGAGGTGAATCTGTGGTTGCTCACTCAGATACCACTGTTTTCCCTGTGCCTCTCAGGTGAGACTCTTTGAGTTTGCAAGGAATTTTTCAATAGTGATTTTGCTTTGAGATTTATTTTATTTATTCACTGCTTTAAAGTAGTAACTGTAGAGGACCAGGGCCTACCATCCATGTAACAGCTTTAGAGGACCTACTGCCTATATCTTTGTATTTAATTAATAAATGTTTATATAGTATTTATTATATATTAAGCACTGTTCCAATCACTAGAAATATTACATATCATATTCATCATAACAATCTTATAAGGTAGATTATCATTATTATCCTCATTTTATAGGTGAGGAAACGGGCACAGAGATAATTAAGTAGTGAAGCCATGATATAAACCCAGACAATCTAGGTTTAGAGTCTTAACCAAACCCTCTATGTGAGATGTGGCTCTCCACTTTATTGTTAAAGAGCCTTTCTTCGGCTTGGGAGTAGAGCCGGTTAAATGTATGCTTTGGTTATGTTCTCTTTTTATGGTCTTGATTTACCTTTGTATTGGATTAGCCAAAAAATCTGTTTCATTTTTTTCTGTATAATAAAAAACACATTTTTCATTTTCATCCATAACTTTATTGATTTGGATATTTTTTGAGTATGTCAGCTGTCTCCCAGTATTGGCTTCTAATGGATAGAGGCCAGGGGCGCTGCTTAACATCTTCCAGTGCATCAGACAGTCCCAACAGCAGAGTTACTTGACCAGGATGTCAGTGGTACTGAGGAACTTCACAACCCACTTTTGATCTGTTCGATCAGTCATAACACCTTCTCCATACCTTCTCCATACTACACAAATCTTTTTTTGCATTTTAGTAGCATTTTAACCTTTCTTGAAATTGTAAAGCATAATACACTGAAAATGTTGCATATTTTCTTTCATCTTCAATATTAAAATGGCTACACAAAAATTCACTAATTTTGATAAGTTTTTTTAAACACATGCTGATGTGACAACTGTCACAATACAATTCAACAAAATTGTTTTAAATGAAGTTAAAGACAACTAAGCACAACTAAGGCCATCATTCGGAAAAAACTAAACAAACTTTTTGGCCACCCCAATAAATTCTTAAAACCTGGTATATAAAAAGTTGAAGATATAACTTGTTTTTTTCCTAATTGAAACAGCTAAAAAGTAATATTAACCTGCACTTAGAATGTTATTATGGCAAATACAATTTTAACTGTTTCTTTGTTCATTTTCACTATTACATACATTGTGTATATAATACACACACACACACACACACATTTTGATTAAAGAAGGTTGATTGTTTAGATCAGTTCCCAGACACAGCGTTAATCCTCACAGGCTGTTTGGCCCACTACATTTATTAACAAAAAAAAATGATTGCACTCTGGCTGGGTAGCTCAGTTAGAGCATCGTCCCATGCACCGAAAGGTTGCAGGTTCAGTCCCTGGTTGGGGCAAGTGCAGGAGGCAGCAGGTTGATGTTTCTCCTTCTCTCCCTCCCTCTCCCTCTAGAATCAATAAACATATCTTCAGGCAAGGTTAAATTATTAAAATTATGGTGACTCAGCAGTCCTGGCTTGTTTATTACATCAATTTTTGTTCAGATGTTTTCCTTGTATAATTTATTAGTGGTGCCTCTTCTTACTCTCAAGTGTCCCACTTTGAAAGATGAATTATAGTTGAAGGGTTATTCTATACATTTGGTTAATATGAAAAATATATTCTTTGATATATACTATGATTGAAGTTTTTCTGTTTCAGTGATGGTCAATTTGTTTATTGTACATTGAACCTAATGTCACTGGCACTCTGAATATACAAAACAAAATGTATATTTATGGCACTTGTCAGTTTTTATGTGTGAATATGGGATAGCAAAACATGTGGGACTAGTTCAGACTACAAATTGATTAGGATCTTGGTGTTTCCTCTTAATCTCTGGCTGCCTCTGGCCTTTTTCCTCCAAAGGCCTGCTCATTTATTTGATGTTAAGTGGCCAGGAGCTGTTCTAGTTGTTTAAGTTCCTGAAGATACTAGATTCACCTAGCCACCTGAGTCTGACTCTGTGTGTGTGTGTGTGTGTGTGTGTGTGTGTGTGTGTGTGTGTGTGTGTGTGTGTGTGTGTGTGTGCGCGCGCGCGCGCGCACGTTCTAGTCACTATGGGGAAACAAGTCAGGATGTTAGGTGAAAAGTAACAAATAATTGGGAATTTGCAGGATTTTAATAAATTCTAGAATGTTTTCAGAATGATAGATCTAGATCCTTATTTCCTAAGGCTCTATCTTCAGTGACACCCTGTCTTAGGTGAGATCATCTGAGGAGGATTGTCTCTGCGGTGGTTCATATCGCGGGGATGGTTCAGACAGTGACTGGAGCCCTCGTAGAACAGTTATGACCTGAGTCCAGCTAGCTAGTAGCTCTTGCGTGAACCATCACAGTAGTCTTCCTGATTCTCTTTGCTTCTAGTCACCTTTCTACTCTCATTAAACTCATTTTCCATGTAGCAGTCACAGGGATCTGTGTTTGAATGAATGTCTAATTTTAGACTTCCCTTGGTAAAGTTCTCTAATGCAACATCTGAAATCTGAAACGCTGTATTGTGATCTGTAAGGTCACCTAACCAGGACTTTGTCTCTTTCATACCTCATCTTCTACCTCTTACAACTTTTGTCTACTTTAGTCCAGTGACACAGGCTTTCCTTGTGATTCTCAGACATGCCATGGTTGTTCCTGCCTGTGGACTCTCCATACACACTGCCTTCCTGCGTCTTCTTCACATTACATGGCCGACTTGTCATTCAGAGCCAGTCTGAGAGGCCATTTCTAATCACCCAATCCAGAGATCTGTTCGAATGCTCTGTCTCCCTAATGCTTATCATTGTCTGATACCTTTTCTGTTTAAGTTTTTACTTGTATTTTCTGTATTTAGAATATAAGAGCCATGAGACCCAGGGCCTTGTGCTGCCTGGCATAGAGGAGGTAATCATTAAATATTGGCTAAATGATTGGTGGGCTTTCTTGTTTCTGGCAAAGCTACTTGTTAATCTTCTTCATGAGGGCCTCCTGCTTGGGATTTTAAAAACCTTTTTCTATAGACAGATCTGTTTTCTTTTTCTTAACAGAACTGTGAAAAACTGGGTGAGCTGCTGTTATGTGAGGCTCAGTGCTGTGGGGCTTTCCACCTGGAGTGCCTTGGATTAACTGAGATGCCCAGAGGAAAATTTATCTGCAATGAATGTCGCACAGGTAAAGTTAGATATAAGGGGGTCTTCTTCCAAAGAAGGTCTGAGTTTTAAAGTTTCTCATTTATGGGAGACACCGTTTTGTTGCAATACTGGGCTAGTTGCTATAGACATAGGTGCTGTGCGATCTTTGCCCTCTGAAGAGCTTCCGAATGAATAACGAATGTACAGTACAGCATAATGTAGTTCAAAAGGTGTTGCAGTGGAGGTACATTTAAGGTGCTCTGTGAACAAAGGTGAACCACCGCCACAGAGGAAGATACCTGAGTTTGACTTGAAGAGAGAAGTGGAGACGGGAAGGACAGAAGGTCCACTGATGAAAGTAGAGGATAAAGCATAGATCAGTGCTCTTAGTTAGAGTGTAGGATGTCCTAGGGAAGAGGCACTGGCGAGTGGCGGGAAAGGCTGCTGGGTTACTGGTAATGCTTTATATTTCTTGCTGTCACTGGTGATTACATAAGTATGTTTACTTCACGATTATTTATAAATAATACACTTAGGATATGTGTACTTTTCTTCATATGTCAATAAAACTGTATCCCCCAAAAGTGACATTTTGGGAGTTATAATATGCAGATTGAATCAGAAACTAGGAATGGCCAGATGAGACTAACCTGTAAAGCACTTCGCAAATTGCGCTAAGGAGATTGCTCTGTTTTCAGCATTATATGTGGATGGTGCAGCATTTTAGTGGTGAAGAAATGAGGACTGAGTCTTAGGCTCATAAGTAAGTAATACCATAAGTGTGGATGGTGCTGTCCAAAAAGAAAGCACCTGTAGAGCAAGAAAAAAGTCAATGACAGTACCTGGGGATATCTCCTTAAAAGGTGCCACTGAAGGTTAAGGAGGGTCAAGTCAAAGAATGTGAGGCCACGGGAGTGGAGCGTCATAAGAGGGGGCAGATACAGCAAGGAGACAAGATCAAGGAGGCCTGGAGTGAATGGAGGCTGTCGTATTTGACAGCAAGAAATGGTTGGCTTTTCACCAGAGGGTGCCACGTGAAATCAGCGTGAGGGCCAATGGGTGGCACTAGACACTGTTTAGAGAAGCTGAATGGGGCAGTAGCTGAAAGGAGGATATTAATAGCAGGAAGAGGAAGAGCATCTTGAGTTTTTGTTAGAACTATCTGGGGAAATGAATATCCTTTCCAGCAGATTAACTGGAAGAATTCAGTCACAGGCAAAAGAGGGCAAGGGATGAAAAGGTAAAATGGGAATGTCCCGTAGAGTTGTGAGACAGAAGGAAGCAGAAGCAGTTTTTTCTTGGCTTGGTGAGAATGTTAGGAAGAGGTGTTTCTAATGAAGGGAAGAGGGTAGGTTTAGGGTGGGTCCTGTGGGGAAGGAGACAGGGTGTACTGGTGTCTGTAAATAGGTGGCTGTGTCCTGTTGAATTCTTTCATCATTCCACTGCCACCTTTAACACTGTGGGAACAAAAGCTGGAGGACAAGATAGTTGTGGGGTTATTTTGCCTAATCTGAGAAAGATCATCTTGCCTTTTGTGCCAGTGATCCAGTTTTGTTAGCCTTGTCTTTATTATGATGCGATATTCTCTGAGCAGGTTATCTAAGGCAAAGCTATTTTTTTTTTAAATCAACTGTATCAAAGTATAATTTGCCTACTATAAAATGCACTGATTTTAATGTATGTTTTGATAAGTGGTTTATTTTTAGATTTTATTTGTATATTTTTAGAGAGTGTGAAAGGGGAGGGAGAGAGGGAGAGAAACATTGATGTGTGGAGAAACAGCCATTGGTTGCTTCTTATATATGCATCCATCAGGGGACCTGGTCCGCAACTCAGACATGTGCCCTAACCAAGAATTGAACTGACAACCTTTGGGTCTGTGGGTTAATTCCCAGCCCACTGAGCCACACCAGTCAGGGCTCTCACAGGTTTTGATAAAAATTTATATACCCGTGTAACCACAACCACAGGGAAAATGTTAGAACATTTCTATCTTTCCAAAAAGGTCTCAGTCAACCTTTACACATCTCACCCACCCTAACCTCCCACCCCTTTCAGTTCAGACAAGTAATGATCTGCTTTCACATTAGATGTATTCTTTTTTAGTGTTTTATATAAAGGGAATCAAAGTCTTTTTGTGTCTGGCTCAGCATGGTTTCTGAGACTCATCTATGTCGTGTGTATCAGTACTTCTTTCTCTTTCTTAAAACAACTTTATCACAGGAACTTGTAGTACAAGAAACTGCACAGAGTGAACAGTTTGATATGTTTTGGTGGCAGTGTGTGTACATACACCTGTGAAACTACCACTTAGCATAGTTAAGAGATTCAACAACATCATTGCAGGTATTAAGAGTTCATTCCTGTTTATAGTTGAGTAGCATTTGATTGTGTGGATGTACCACAGTTTGTTTATGTATTTATCTGTTGATGTACATTGGGATTGTTCTCAGGTTAAGCTATTATAAATAAAGCTACTGTGAACAGTCAGTTCCTTGTATGGAAACAGTGTCTTTCTCTTGCGTAAATACTTTAGATGGCTGCATCATGTGGTAGGTACAGTATATGTTTAACTTTTAAAGAAACATTCAAATTGTTTTCCAAAATGTTTGTACCATTTTACATTCCCATCAGCAATGTGTGAGAGTTTCTGTTCTTCCCCATCTTCAGTGACACTTGGCATTGTCAGTCTATTTAATTTTAGCCATTCTGATAGATGTGTGGTAGTATCTCATTGTGGTTTTAATGTTCATCTCCCTCATGGCAAATGATATTGTGTATCCTATTATTTATTTGCTATCCTCTTTGATTAAGTGTGTGTGTGTGTGTGTGTGTTTCTAATTAGGCTGCTTATTTTCTTATCTGTGAAGTTTTAAGAGTTCTTTATATTCTGGATATAAGTCCCTTCTCAGATACTTTCCAGATTAGTATCCCAATCTGTGGCTTTTTTTTTTTTTAAGATTTTATTTATTTATTTTTAGATGGAGGGGAAGGGAAGGAAAAATAGTGGGAGAGAAGCATCAGTGTGTGGTTGCTTCTCACGCGCTCCCTACTGGGGACCTGGCCTACAACCCAGGCATGTGCCCTGACTGGGAATCACACCAGCAACCCTTTGGTTCTCGCCTGCACTCAGTCCACTGAGCCACACCAGCCAGGGAAGTGTTTCATTTTTTTAATGGTGTCCTTTGAATATTGATAAAGTTTAGCTTATCAACTTGTTCTTTTTGTGGACTTTACCTGGTAAAGACATCTTTCTTAACCCAAGGGTCACAAAGATTTTCTTTGTTTTCTTCTGAAAATTTTATAGTTTTAGATTTTACATTTAGGCCTATGATCTTTTTTGTATATGATGTGATGTGATATGATGTAATTTTTGTATATGAACTACTTTCTAGGTCATTTTACCATATTTCAAAAGGTCTAACACTTAGAACATTTAAAAATACATATATTCAGTGTGTGGCAAAATTATAAAGTAACCCCTCTGTGTCATCTACTGCCTAGCGCCATTTTCAAATTTTCCCACTTATCTCAAAGATGTCTTTTTATAGAGTTTTGAATCAAGATCCAAATAAAATCTGTGTTGTACTTTTGATTGTCTCTTAAATTTCTTATAAAGGACAACATTCCTGTCCCTCTCACCCTATTTTTAAATTGACATCTGTTTGTCAAGACAGTAGCCATTTGTACCACAAAATTTTCCACATTCTAAATGTGGTTGATTGTACCCTTCAGGTATCTGTTTAATTTAACTTGTTTCTCTTTTCTCCAAACTTCCTGGAAACTTGTGGAGATTGGGTTAGTTTCTGGTCAGTTTTCTCTTGGCAACGTGATGGGTACTTCCCATTACTTCCTATTCATGTCAGCAAGCATGTATTGTCAGTGTCCCACTGAGTAGTAATATAAGATTGAGTTAGTTATGTTTTCAGCCTGATAAGTCTATTTCAAAGTTAGTTGCTGTGATATTGTGATTTACAGTAAATACATATTGGGTCCTTATCTAGTTTCTAGCGCAGAGCTCCTGAAACCCTTGGAATTTCCTAAGTGATAGGAGCCATAAAGCTGCCTTTGAATGCCGTTTGTTACATTAATAAGGTGACTTGTAGACCCATCTGAAGATGGAGGCTGGTTGCCCATAGAACCACCCATGTGACTAGAGGGTTGCAGTCCTACCTTTCTGACCTCAGGGGAGGGGAGGGGAGGGGAGGGGAGGGGCTGGAGGTTGAAACAGTCCCCAGTCATGCATGTGTAATTAATGCATCAAAATCCAAAAGGAAAGGGGTTCAGAGAGCTTCTGGGTTGGTGAATATGTGGAGGTTCTGGGAGAGTGTCATGCTTGGAGAGGACGTGGAAGCTCTGAGCCATTTCCCCATCCTTGCTGTGTACATCTTTTATATCTAGCAGTTCTTGAGTTATATCCTTTTATAAGAACTGGCCATCTAATAAGTAACATGTTTCTCTGAGTCCCTTGAACAGCTCTAACAAATTAATTGAACCCAAGAAAGGGATTATAGTTAATTGTTCAGAAGTACAGTCTACAACCTGGTCTTGAAGATTGGTGTCTGAAGGGGTGCGTGGACATGACCTTCTTTAGGGCTGAGTCCTTAACCTGTGGGATCTGCTGTTATCTCTATGTAGGTAGTGTCAGAATTGAGCTAGGACAGCCAACTAGTGTTGCAGAATTGCCTGGTGGGGAGGGGATTGTAGGACAACCAGTTGGTATTGTAGAATTACATGGTGGGGAGGGAACACACCCTACACCCAGCCCCTAGCCCCCTGCCCCCTCCCTCCTGGTGGAATTTGATGTGGAATTGTGTGCTCACTAACTTTTCATCTAATGGTTTCACATCGGCTGAGTTCTTGAATTATTATTAATATGTTACCTTTCTCTTTCCCAGGAATCCATACCTGTTTTGTATGTAAACAGAGTGGGGAAGATGTTAAAAGGTGCCTTCTGCCCTTGTGCGGAAAGTTTTACCATGAAGAGTGTGTCCAGAAATACCCACCCACTGTCATGCAGAACAAGGGCTTCCGGTGCTCCCTCCACATCTGTATAACCTGCCATGCTGCTAATCCAGCCAGTGTTTCTGCATCTAAAGGTACAGGTTTCTCACGTGAACCAATCTAATTGTAAAATAGCAGTGCCATTGGCAGTGCATGTTTCCAGGTGCTGTCTGGCATGTCTCTTCGTGATCTTTCTAGCTTTTGTCAGAGTACCAGTATTTTGTGCAAGAGAAGAGAGTAATGGACTAGTTAAATAGTCACCACATTGTTTTCTATGGAGCCCTAACGTTATGTAGTTGTTTTAAATACTTGAATTTTATTTGAGATTTAGTTTGAAAAAGTGTTTTGTTGCATGTCTTCATCCTGCTGCCTACTCCATTAGACCAGGAGCCCCCAACCCCCACTACCAGTCCGTGGCCTATTGGGAGCAGGGCCACACAGCAGGAAGTGAGCGGTGGGCAAGCCAGCGAACTGTCCCTGGTGCCAAAAATGTTGGGGACCACCGCATTGGACTACACTGTATTCTCCTGTGGGCCCTTTTACATTTGTGGTCGTCACATGTGATGTCCTTCGGACATGTGTGTAGGTCAAAAGTGAGGTTTTTGTTTTGTGTTGATTTGTTTTTGTTAGTTTATTTTTTAAAATGGAAACTCCTATCTTGAAAGCTTTTTTTCTGTTTCATAGTTGGAGAGCTATTGGTGGATGTAGATAAACTCAAGTTTTTAAATCTGTTCCTACTGGGAAAATAATCATTTCTTTCTGTTCAGTAATAGTGGGTCTCTTACTGATTTTCCTAAAAGCCAAATATTGTGTCTCTACTGTTAAAAGCTTGTGTGCTCAAAGAGCCCCCATTTCACCCATTGAGGTTTGAGCAGGAAAATTTAGTAGTCTTGACTTTTTTTATTAATCAGTTTTTTAACCAGATCGGCACTACCTTTTGTTAAGTTGCCCTCTTACATCTCATCAGATTTCCAGGCCCTCTAGATCTCATCAATCTTTTTTTTTTTTTAAGATTGTATTTATTTTTAGAAAGAGGAAAGAGAGGGAGAAAAACATCAGTGTGTGGTTGCTTCTCACATGCCCCCTGCTGGGGACCTGGCTTGCAACCCAGGCATGTGCCCTGGCTGGGAACCAAATCAGCCACCCTTTGGTTCACAGGCCTGCAGTCAATCTACTGAGCCACACCAGCCAGGGTTTATCAATCTTAATCACAGTCATTTAACTTGCTTGATCAAAATTGCAGTTTAACTATCAGGTACCTTCCTGTTTTCAATTGTTAGCGTAGGTTACGTTTAGATGGTTTGGTGTAATGGCTTTCAGTTGAAGTATATTAGAGGACATAATTTCATCAGTAAGGGGTAGAGGGGCTTGTTTACCTGAAAGGCTTTAAGAATCACAACATCAGGCAACAAAAGCAAGCAATAATATTCCTGCCATCTGGCCTTTTATTCTAGTAGTGCACATCTCCACATACCATTTAGTTTGCAGGTGATTCCAGGTTTCCTAGGAGTCAGGGCAGTGGTTTCAGTAGGGCTCTTTGGTGAGTGCAGCTTATTTACTGTTGTGGGATCTGACTTCTTATGTTGAAGTTATATAGTTCCCACCTGAGCTTTTTATAGTGAATTGGGTGTTTAAGATCCCCTGCCCTGGATATGAGGGTGATCAGGCTGCGATATAAGTCACCCCGCTGATCACCAGGGTTAATTTGGCTGATCTGGTCGGCCAGGTGGGTGTCCCCTTTTTCCCTCATCAATCCATGTGCATCCCTCCTGAAGCTGTGCAGTCGGTCGAAGAGGGCGGCCTTCCCAAGTAGAGTAGAGGACCCATCTTTGGTCAAGGGTATAGAGTAGCTGCACTTCCCTGCTGGAACCTTCAAACATGCTCTCAAGGTCCCCTGCCCTAGTAGCGCTTTTTTCTATTTGTGACATTTTCTCAGTACTAGCAAATAAACTTGAATAACTCATACTTTTTAATGTGTAATATGTTTGTTTTTTCTTTTTCTCCTCCCCGCTTTTCCTGTGTCTCGTATTTTTAGGTCGTCTGATGCGCTGTGTCCGCTGTCCTGTGGCATACCATGCCAATGACTTTTGCCTGGCTGCTGGGTCAAAGATTCTTGCATCTAATAGTATCATCTGCCCTAATCATTTTACACCCAGGCGAGGCTGCCGAAATCATGAACATGTTAATGTGAGCTGGTGTTTTGTATGCTCGGAAGGTAAGGTATGACTTACTGATGTATAAATAGTTTAAAAAGAGATTAATACAATATCTTAATTGCAACAAAAAGTTTTCTTCACATTGCTAGTACAAGAAATACAAGGACGTGATATACTGAATTAATATAACATAATAGAACTTCCAAATTTGAATTTGTTCCCCAATAGGAACAGCTTTTATTTTTATTTTAAATAGTGACTTAATTTTTATCAAAATGTTAAGCAGTTGATGCAGTAAAGAAATAGGAGACAAAACCACTGTTGGAAAAATGAGGGGATGTGGTCAAACAGTACAAAGTTCTACTTATAAGATGGGTAAGTTCAGGGGATGTGATGTGTAACATAGTGACTGTGTTAAATATTTGAAAGTTCAAATATTTGAAAGATGTGTTTAAGCACATCTTAAAAGTTCTCACCACCAAAAAAAAAAAAAATGTGTAACTGGGGTATGATAGATGTGTTACCTAATCTTACTGTGTTAATCATTTCACAATATGCACATATATCAGGTTGTTAAGTTTTATACCTTAAACTTACACAATGTCATATGTAAACTATATCTCAGTAAGTCTGAAAGACAAAGACAAAAAAAGAAAGGAACAGAAAGAACGAACAAACTCCAAATCACCTGAGTCTCACCATCAGAAAAAAAACATTACTTAATATTAAGTGATATCACTCCAGACATCTGCGCATATAACTTGGATAGAAGCAATTCTAGATGGTATAATTCTTTAAAATTAATTTTTCGTGAATTTAAATGGAAGATTGGAAAGTGAAGAAATTAATGAATTTCCTTACTGTAAGGGACATTAATGTTTCTAAAAGTCTTATAAAGTAGAGGAAAGGGTAATTTTGTATCTTTTGTATATTCAATTTAAAAGTATTTCTCCTGCAGAACAGAGCCAGTATTATCCATCTTATATAATTCCTGTCCGTTTCTCACAGCTTGATTTCTGCTAGTACAGTGGAAGATTTAGTACTCACTGCCAGTCTGTTTACTGTGGTGCACTGAGAGTTCTGAATTGTTCTCTTGCTGAACTGAGCTTCTAAGAAGCACCGTAGGGGCTGTAGTTCTCAGTGTGAGGCTGTTTGTCATGTGCCTCTACACAACGAGCACGTGCTGGGTCACTGTGAGTGTGTAGGCCACACGCTCTTTTTCTAAGACTGGTGTTGACATTGCTCCACTATCTTCTGGTGTGAAGGTGACACCAGCTTTCCTGCTCATTTTCTTCATTCCTTTTCAGAATGATTACATTTTGTTGATTAGTAAATTTGGGGGAACAATTTCCATGAGTTTTTTTTTAATATCTACTTATTGGTCATGCAATTTTATAGAAACTTGTGTGGTTATGGACATTTTGAAAGAATAATTGGTAAAGAGTGAACATGTGTAATTTGATGAGCATCCCCTTTAAGAAATTTGAGTATAGTAAATAGTGTTAAAGTTACCAAAGAAGTGGACTTTTACTTTTGTTCTCAAGATTTATGTAACCTGGTAATTTAAGGAAAATCTCCACTTACTGATCAGGACATGATTGGTGTCCTCAAGTTATGGTGTTAATTTAAAACAAAGAAGGATGTTAAAAATACTTTACTTGGGTAGAAACTGGAACTTTGGAGTAGTTAGGGATGTTTTAATGCACAGAGAGAACTATGTTAGCTTTGTTAATTGTCCTGTATAAAATTTTATGACATCATACTTTTTTTGTTGTTCTTATATCTGCTCCTTATAAAACTGTCTTTTTCGGCCCTGGCTGGTGTGGATCAGTGGATTGAGCACCAGCCTGCAAACCAAACGGTCACGGGTTTTATTCCCTGTCAGGGCACATGCCTGGGTTGCCAGCCAGGTCCTCAGTTGGGAGTGTGCAAGAGGCAACCGATTGATGTTTTTCTGCCTCTCCTTCTCACTCCCTTCCCCTCTCTCTAAAAATAAATGAATAAAATCTTTACAAAATAAGGAAAATAAAACTGTCTTTTGGTGAAAACTGCTGCTTGTTATTGTATTACCTTTCTTTTGTTTAGAATAAAGTTGAAGACAGAATTTTGGTATTTAATAGCATTTAAATACAACATTCTATAATTCTCTTAGTGTCTTGGATGGTGAAGTACAGGCTCCAAGTTTTCATGTTTCTTAAACATGGGAAGATGAAATACTTTCAGTATTAGACTATTTTTAATTCCAGGGTAACATGAAATGAATGTAAAATGGTTTCTGAGTAGAAGTGCCCGTGTGATCATTATGTTTTAATATAATCTATGTCACTTTTAGCTTATGTATTACATTTATGCATATATAAATGCTATTCTGAAAGGGGCCATAGGTTCGTGAGAGTGCCAATCATAGAAAAGATTAAAAGGTTAGCAACATAAAAAGTGGATGACTGCTTTTATGTGTCATCACTACTAGGCGATTTAATCACTCACTTCTCCTCAAACAGGTCTGCTTATTTATTGTTCATTGTAGGAAAAACCTTACATTGGGGGAATTACAACTCAGCAAGAGAAGTGAATTCCCCAAGGTCATATGATCTTAAGAGCTTAAATCAGACATCAATTGATGCTCTTGCTCTTTATACACTGGTCTGTGTATGTCATTGATATTCTCTGCTGCGTTGCCTTTTAGTAAAGAGGAAAGAATGTATGTACAAGGTCTGTCCAGAAGGTATCCAACTATGTAATAGGAAAAACAGACATTTATTGAAGAAGATACACGAAACATTGTACATAGGACAGTGACACCTCAGTCCCCTTCAAACCTCACAGTTTTCCCAGCATCTCTTCCATTGTTCCAGACACTGCATATCTTTTGTTTGAATCATGCCTGCTGCCCCATTGTGTTTTCCTGAATCTCATCGATGGTCTGAAATCTCTTTTCTTTCAAAGGTGATTTTAGTGTTAGTAAAAGCCAGAAGTTGGTGGAGTGCAAAATCTGATCTGTTAGGGGGGCTGAGTCACCTGGATGATTAGATGTTTCACCAAAAACCTCTGTAGGAGATGTGACACACGAGCAGATGCATTGTTGTGATGAAGCTGCCAATCACCAGTTGCCCATAGCTGCAGCCGTTTTTGTCTTACTGCATCTCTCAACCTCTGAAGAACATTGAGGTAGTACTCCTTATTAATTGGCCTGAAGGAATATACTTATGATGGGCAACACCTTCTCAATCAAAAAACACAGTTAACATGGTCTTGATCTTGCTGTGACTTTGCCACGCCTTCTTCAGGTGTGGAGAACCACTGGGACAACTGGGCCTGTGTTTCTGGGTCACAGCCGTAGACCCACGATTCATCTCTGGTTATGACCTTGAGGAAATCTGGTTCATTGGTAGCCATTTGAATTAAGTCATTAGCAACTGCAGCATAATGTTCCTTCTGCTCTTGCAACAGAAGTTGTGGAACAAATTTTGCTATTACACGTTTTATGCCAAGATCCTGCATCAAATTCTCAGAAGTAGTGGTTTTTGGAATTCCCTAGATTAGCTTCTAGTTCTCACAATCAGTCAGTGGTCTTTGTTGATTGCAGTCCATAAACCTGCAGCATTCTCAGATGTTTTGCTGTCACAGGCGTTCCAGAATGTAGATCTCTTTCATCAGATTTTCAACCATCTTTGAAGCTTTTGTGCCACACTTTTATTTGTGCTGCACTTATTGCATTGTCCCTGAAAGTCTTCTGAATCACGAATAGTTTCCATGGAGGAACAATTCAAGCTTAATGCAAAATTTGATGCAGATTCATTGATCTACTCGCTCAGTCATTTCTAATGCAATGGCCACACAGTATACATGCTCACTCAACAGCATCTACCACCCCCCCACGGACTAGTATAGTGGAGCCATCACTGTTCATGCATATACATTCCAGTCTACTCTTCTTGGCTGCCAGGTTACATCCATTTCATGCAAACCATTCTCTTTATAGTAACAATGGGTAGGCTTGTTCTGGGCAAACCTTGTGTGTGTGTGTATGTGTACACATACATGACTTTTAGGGGTTTGCCCTGACCTAATTTTGCTGATAACATCTCATGTTTACTTGCTGTGAATCGAACAGATCTTCAAGGGTGTGGTTCAGGAATAGTGTAAAGGAAACACTCTTGCAGGAAAGTCTCTCTGAACAACTAATTAAATTACTAGGTCCTTGGCTGAGAGACAAATAACTGGTTAAGTGCTGAGTGCAGGCTGTTTCTGCTGGGTCCTCACATGTAACCTTGTGTTTCTAAGTGCTAGATTTTTTGATTGCTACAGGAGGCAGCCTTCTTTGCTGTGATTCTTGCCCTGCTGCTTTTCATCGGGAATGCCTGAACATTGATATCCCTGAAGGAAACTGGTATTGCAATGACTGCAAAGCAGGCAAAAAGCCACATTACAGGGAAATTGTCTGGGTGAAAGTTGGAAGATACAGGTGAGTGAGCATGAAGGAGACAGGCAACCATTTTTTGTACCATTCTCTGTTTCTTCTGATCTCTTAGAGTGCTTAACATTTTCTAATGATGTCCCTGGTTAAGCAAGGTCTCCCCCCTTCCCCATTAGTCTTTCATTATAAAAGAAAAAAACCTTAATTTTTTGTTTTGATCATAGGAAAATATAGAAAATTCATTCATGAAACCTTGACATCTTAGAAACAAGGAAGATACATTGCTTGCTAGCGTTTTGGCACATTTACTTGCAGATAACACCAGCACATTCACCCTCAAAATAATTGACCTTGTAGTTTTTACTCAGTTTTTGTGGCTTGCTTTTTCTCTTTAAGATTATTTTTATAGATCATGTAATATACAAAAGGATATTGTGACCTGGGTGATTGTAGAGAATAATGAAAGGAATGCCTGTGTATGTACCTTCCGGTTAAAGAAACAGCACATTGCTGGTACTTTTAAGTCTCCCTCCAGCCCCGTCTGAATCCATCCTTTCCCCACCCCATCAGAGGGAACCACCTTACTGCATTTTGTGTTTTTATTCCTTTGCCTTGTTCTGTACGTTTACTATATGTATAATATTTTGTTTTGCGTGCTTTAGACCTTTATATAAAGGGATTGTTATGTTTTCCTGCAGCTTGCTTTTTTCATTCACTATTATTCTCATGAGATTTATTCTGGTTAGCACAGAGCTCCAGCTCATTCATATGATATAGTTGTATAGTGTAGTGTATAGTTCAGTCGTCCATTCTCCTGTGTGGACTGCTGGCATTTTGTCAGTGTGATGGTATACATGCACAGGAACTTCTCTAGGGTCTTCTCAGGGTAGAGTAGCAGGGTCGGGGTGTATAACCTTAATAGCTAATGCCAAACTGTCTTTCTAAAGCAGTTGTATTAATTTACATGCTTGGCAGGGAGGCATTACTTGGTGTCATTTTTCTGTCCCCTAATATTGAAAGTTTCCTTTGTAAAGGCCAAGTTGTATTTTATTGCATAGTACACCATAGTTAGATCTATCATTCCATTTATGCTGAGCATTTAGATTGTTTCCAGGTTTTCATTCCTATAGATAATACTTCCTGCTATATAGATACTTATTTCCTGTTTAGATTCCTTGAAGTAAAATAACTGAGTCTTAGGGAATGTATGTGTGTATGCAGGCATATGTGTGAGGACAGGTGTTTCCAGCTTTTAGTACATACTACTTGTTTTTTCACTAGTTGGATTGTTCAGATGCTCAAGGTGATACTTCAATGTGGATAAAAAGACATTGCTATTCTTTATTCCTGTTGTAAAGAATAGGTTATTTTCCTAGTGCCTTGCAGTCTTTTTAGAATTTTCCTTTGTTTTCACCTTTCCCAGATGGTGGCCCGCTGAGATCTGCCATCCTCGAGCTATTCCTTCCAACATTGATAAGATGAGACATGATGTAGGCGAGTTCCCTGTACTCTTCTTTGGGTCTAATGACTATCTGTGGACTCACCAGGCCCGAGTCTTTCCCTACATGGAGGGGGATGTGAGCAGCAAAGATAAGATGGGCAAAGGAGTGGATGGGACATATAAAAAAGGTAACTGTGTACTTTTTGTTTCTCAGACCAATACAGTCCTCTGTTGCTAGAGAATCTGTTCTGTGTCACAACTATGTGTTAGAATTCATGTATGTTCCATTAGCAGCTGAGTTCTGCCCTCTGGGGGCATATGTGGCTGCAGCTACAGAATTTGCAGGGAAGTTGACCCTCACAATTCATTGTTTTTTAATTTAACTTTTACTTAACTGGAATTTCCTTAAGGGAGGTTTTTGTCTTATTCTGTTTTTAGTTTGCTGGCAAGAAATAAAATTCACCAAAAATCATGGAGCAAAATAAGATAGAGTGAAAGCATATTCTGAGTCAAAAGACATTTTATAAGCTGGCCTCGCAATGAAGGAGTGAGGACATTTGGGGCTGGGAGGGGTTGACTAAACTATGAGCCTCAATTTTCTCTTACTGTATCGTGAGTAAAGGTTGCTCTGAGAATTCAGTGCAGTAATAGAAAAGTCAGCTGGCAAGGCATACAGTTGGTATCCTACCAGTGATAATTACCTTCTTCCATTAGCTGTCCTTAGAAAGGAAGCGTAGGTATGTCTTGTTATTTGAATATGAGAGGGCATTGATGAATATGTGTGGACATTGAAGTATAAGGGTTCGCATGATGAAGAGGGACTCGAAGCAAGTGAAACTCCCTGGTGAGGTACAAGAAGGTAATAAACAGATGAAACTTCCTGTATCGGGAATGAGAAAGATGTCTGAAGGGAAGAAATTTAATAACAAAAGGTCTATTTGCCTCATATTAATTTCCGTGGATTCTAACTTAACTGTTGGCCATGTGGTTTTTGTGTAGACGTGGGTGATGAGTACTAATAATGTAGGAGCTTGAGCCTTGTAGGCTCAGATGGTGACCAAGTGACAGCATCTTTGCTGGTAAAGCTGAGCCTGATGAAACTCTGGGATTCTTGTTCTTTCTATGCCTTGACCCTGAGCTTGCTGGGTGCTTCTGCCTACAAAAAGCATATGTTTTTATGTGGGCATTGAACACAGATACCAGCAGTCAAAATCTCATTCATTGAGTGTTGTGGCAGAAGTGTGCATGGTATGCCGTGGGAGCAGACCGAGAGGAAACAGAAATACACTGAGGGTTGAAGTTGCAAATTGTGTGGCTTCTTTCCTAAGTGATGCTTTGAAGAATTAACCATAATAATAATAGTTACCATTGTTGTTTGGAAGGCCCAGTTCAGAGTTTATCTTCTTTAAATCCTGTGGCAACCCTGTAAGTTAGGTGCCATTATCCTTATCTTCAGATGAGGAAACTGAGACACATAAAAGTTAAATTAATTGCCCAAGGTCCCAGGGCTGATCTGTGATAGAGGAACGTTTCAAAGTTTTAATTGCTGGTCTCCAGAATCAAATATCTTAACCCTTGCACCAACTGTGGAGAAGTTAACATGTCGTAATGAGAAGAAGGCACATGTGAAAACACACATTGAATCTAATGTGCTGAGTTAGCGACCTCCAAGTATTTAGTATAGTTTAAGCATGGGGTTAAGAGAGCCATGGGCTATTGGTCTGAAAAGATAAATGATTTATATGGTCAGAGCAGAGTTTTAGAAATCTCAGTGAGTAGAGTGCAAGACCACGGACACTGAGAGGCTGCCACCAGGACTGTCAGGGAGGTAACTGTTTCAGTACTTCTGGGTGGACATGACAAGACTGTCACAGGGAGGTGGCCATGGGTGGAGAGATACGGATATTGGATAGACATTAAGTAGATAGACCAAGCAGGATATGCTAAATAATAAATAGGGTGAAGGAGGGAGAGACTTAAGAAAAGTTTACAGGACTCTAGGCAAAACAAATTATGCTGGATGGTGAGAGAAATGGAGAAAAAGGGATGGAATAGGGGTGGGATTTTCTTTTAAGAATTGACAGCATGGGGTAAAACAACAGAGAGGAAAGAGGGAGGAACTGGATTCTTTTTAGACTTTTAACCTGGGTCAAAAATAATGAATTAAAATTTTAAGTGGAGAAGAATGAGAATCTTAAGATTTTTTTTAAAGATTTTATTATTTATTTTGAGAGAGGGAAGGGCAGGAGAGAGAGGGAGAGAGAGAGAGAGAGAGAGGTCAATGTGCGGTTGCTGGGGGTTATGGCCTGCAACCCAGGCATGCACCCTGGCTGGGAATCGAAACTGCGACACTTTGGTTCGCAGCCCATGCTCAATCCACTGAGCTACACCAGCCAGGGCCTAGATTTTTTTTTTTAAGATTTTATTTATTTTTAGAGAGAGGGGAAGGGAGGGAGAAAAAGAGAGAGAAACCTTAAGTGGTTGCCTCTCACATATCCTCAACTGGGGACCTGGCTCACAACCCAGGCATATGCCCTGACTGGGAATTGAACCAGCAACCTTTTGATTTGCAAGCCAGCACTCAATCCACTAGCCATACCAACCAAGGCAGAATCTTAAGTTTGGGGGGATTTTTCAGATATTACAAACTTTCTAGCATTTTAAAATACAGGCCTTGAATGCTGATTAGCTGTGAAGGTCTGTTTTTATATTGTTAGAGCTAATAGTTGCAGAATGAGTCTTAGGAGACGAGAGTACGACAGGTGCTCTAGAGAAGAAGTAAGAAGGGAAGGAAAACTTCAACTCTGGATTTCTTCCAGAAGAACACGGCATGTACCTGTGACACCTAGGAGGCAGCATGTTTCTGGAAGCAGGAAGTTCAGGACTCACACGAGGAATAATTTTAAATTTTGTTATCGTTAGACAATGCTACATGTGGGCATTTTCAGCTCATTTAGCTATTTTTGTTTTAAATTTTCCTCTGAAGCTGGGAGTCTCTATTGTGCCACTTAGTGATGGGTTATTTTGTCTTAATACTATTATCTGAGTACCCTGGGGACTGTAACTTACTTGAAAGAAGTCATATATAATACTTAATTCTCCATATAATGTTGGTGATATTTGTCTAAAACCTGAATTTCCTCCCATTTACAAGGGGGCGAGGTGAAATAACTCCACCCAGAGATTAAGTCAGTCACCTGTGCTGTTGTGTGTTCTTAGCTCTTCAGGAAGCTGCAGCAAGGTTTGAGGAGTTAAAGGCCCAAAAAGAACTAAGACAACTTCAGGAAGACCGAAAGAATGATAAGAAACCTCCACCTTATAAACATATAAAGGTAAGAAAAGACCTCAGGAGACTCCATCTCAAGGAGAAACACTTATAGTTTGTCCTCTTCTACTCATGACAAGAACTGGAAGCATAAGCACAGCAGTTTTTAGGTACAGGTAAGAGCTTGAAAGAAGATAACAAAAAAGTTCCAGAGCACCATTCCTAGCAGTTGTGTGTACTTTATAATACCAGTCGTGTGTTGATATAGTCTTTACTGCTTTGGAAACTCTTCTCATAAAAGTAGATGAGATTAGATTCTGTTCATAGTCAACACCTTTCAGTTTGAAAGGGACCAAAGAAGCATGATAAAAAATCATTAATTGTCCTGAGATAGTGCAGATAATACACATGGTTAAGTCTTCCTGGTAATAGTGGATACTCAATATTTAGGTGGCTGGTATGACTAGGATTCCCATGGTCAGGAGATTGCACGTTAGGTGTAGCTAACCCTTAGTGTACCTGGTAAGAGCATCATCACCATTTATTATTTGGGTCCAGTGAACCCTTTGTATTTTTTTACATTTTTAAATCATTTTCATGAATAATTTACAGAATTAAAGATAAAGGAATATGAATAACATTTATTAGACATTTTAATAAGTATTTACATTAAAACCTTTAAACCACCCCTCCTTCTTTTAAAAAGATTTTACTTATTTTTAGAGAGAGGGGAAGAAAGGAAGAGAAGGAGAGAAACATCAGTTGGCTGCCTCTTACATGCCCCAACTGGAGACCTGGCCAGCAATCCAAGCATGTCCCCTGACCTGGAATCAAACCAGTAACCTATCAGTTTGTGAGATGACACCCAACCCCCTGAGCCACGCCTGTTTTTTTCTCAGCACCGTTGCTGGCATATGTGAAAACTAGTGGTTTCAGTGTCACAGCAACAGCTTGACCTTTATATTTCATCACTCTGGGTTTTTTCACTGTAGTTCCTTGTACTAGAACCACTACTGAATAGAATGCACGAGTGACTGTGGTGTAGACTATTAAAAAGATTTCAGATTATGACAGTAAACAGTAAAATACATATTCACATATAGAAACCTCAGTTACCCAAAGACATTGGCATGCCACTTAACGAGGATGGGTTTATTACATAGCATCTAAAGTGCTACCATGTGGCAATAGTAGAAACCAGTTCAAATTTACTTGGCCTACCAGCTTTGAAATTCTGCTTTAAAATGGTTTTAAAAATTTTGTTGGAATCATCATACTTTATATGTCAAGTCAGGCTTTATTTTTAAGAGTTCCATAGTATTAAATGCATTTATAATGTTTGTATTTATTGCCACCATCCATTTGCAGGCTTCTTTAATCTTGTAAAACTGAAACTCTACCCATGAAATAACAACTCTCATTCTCTCCTCTTGGCCCCTGGCAACCACTTCTTTTTGCCTCTAACTTTAACTACTCTTACTACATTATATAAGTGGAATCATACAATATTTGGCTTTTTGTTACTGGCTTGTTTCATGTAACATAATGTCCTCCAGGTTTATCCATATTGTAGCGTGTTTCAGAATTTCCTTCCCTTTTAGGCCGAATAATATTCCATTATCTGTACCACATTTTGCTTATCCATTCATATGTCAGTGAACACTTGGTTTGCTCCCCACATTTTAGCTGTTGTGAATAATGGTGCTAAATCTTGATGGTTCAAAATCATAAAATGTGGCATGCAACTTGAATGAAAAGAAAATTCCCTTTTCTAGGTCCTGAGTTATCTTGTGCTGACTTATCTGACTGGTGTACTTACAGTACATGTGTCTTCTCCAGGTGAACCGTCCTATCGGCAGAGTACAGATCTTCACTGCGGACTTGTCTGAGATTCCACGTTGCAACTGTAAAGCTACTGATGAGAACCCCTGTGGGATAGACTCCGAGTGCATCAACCGCATGCTGCTCTATGAGTGCCACCCCACAGTGTGTCCTGCCGGAGGGCGCTGCCAAAACCAGTGTTTTACTAAGCGCCAGTATCCAGAGGTGGAAATTTTTCGCACATTACAGAGGGGCTGGGGTCTCCGAACAAAAACAGATATTAAAAAGGTGAAGAAAACTTTCCTTCATTTTTCCAGGTTTTTTTTTCCTTCTTTGAAATGGCTTGAATAATTCTTAATGAATATGAGAAAGTTCATCATAGAGGAAAATAATAGTGCAGGGATCCATCTCACGGTTGTATCTTGCCATACCCTAGAGTTGGAGGCTACAGAACAGGTGTTCTGCTTTATCTGTATGTGTCCAGTGTTGCTCATGTTCACTGTGGGAGCATGAAACCACAGGGGAAATGCACAGATACTATGGCCTCACTTGCTTTTTGAAAACCCCACTGCCTGTAGTTAAGAGAGAATAGTGAGCACATCATTCAGAGGTGTTAATCGCCTGCTAATAAAATTAACCATATTTTTACTTAGGTAAAATGAAGTAGCATCTTCAACTTCAAACTTGGAATGACCTTCAGGTTTCTAATAAATAGATACTATTGTATATTTTTTGTAAAGAATCAGTCCTATTTGACTTTTTTTTAAAATATTTTATTTATTTATTTTTAGAGAGGGAAGGGAGGGAGAAAGAGAGAGAGAGAAACGTCAATGTGCGGTTGCTGGGGGCCATGGCCTGCAACCCAGGCATATGCCCTGACTGGGAATGGAACCTGCGACACTTTGGTTCGCAGCCACGCTCAATCTACTGAGCTATGCCATCCAGGTCCTATTTGACGTTTTAATAAAATAAACCTTACTCCAATTATACTTTCTGAAGAATTTCACTGATTCTATTTCTAGGACAGGGCTTGAATATGGGTTGACCTGTTTAGTCATTCACTAAGACAGTGTGCTGAGGATGCAGTGATCACCAAAGGAGACCTTCTCCGTGCTTCCATTAAGTTCACATTCTAGAGGGGGGAACATTGAACAAGGAATTGCCCCCTGCGGAAGCAGAATGGGTTCTGGAGGCACACGGCCAAGGGCCTGGAACTTGCTTGTGCTTGTCTCTGAAAGTATTTTTAGTTGAAACTGGAAAAACAAGTAGTTATTGGCTTAAGCCAGTTGAGTGCTAAGGCATTACGTGTAGAGTGCAGCATGCGCAAAAGCCAGTGTGAGTACTGCAGTTAGTTGGGGTGCAGTGACATGAAATGGGGAAGGGGCAGCAGGCCATGTTCCAAGGAAAGAGCCTACCTAAATTAGGGAAACTGACTTAACTGAAGTATTTTGGCAGGTAAATGGAGCCATCATTCACTTCCGTTTGGGTTGATCTTTAGTGTCCTAGGAGGAGTGGGGAAGTGGCTTTCGTTGTCAAATAGTTGAAGCAGCATATTTGTTACATTTCTTGAATTAACCTCTGTTAAGTGACTCATTATATAAACATGAACTGCTTTGGAGAATTTGTGGAAAATCATGAATCTGTTCTTTTCATTTTTTTTTTCAATAAGGCATACCTGTAAATAATGCGCTTTTTGACATTAAGTCAAGATCTGTCTCTTGTTCCAGGGAGAATTTGTGAATGAGTATGTGGGAGAGCTGATAGATGAGGAGGAGTGCAGGGCTCGCATCCGTTACGCCCAGGAGCACGACATCACTAATTTCTATATGCTCACCTTAGACAAAGTAAGTGCTGTGTTGGGAAATCCGTGTTGTCCCTGCCAGAGTGGTAACAGGTATGTCAGGCATTGCCCAAAATAGTGTCTCTCCACCCCCGTATTCAGGGTTGATCAGGATTCTGGAGTAGGTAAGTTGCTCATTGCTGGCTATGTGGCCAAAGGCAGTGCTGCTTTTAGCATTCTTTTTGAACTATTCTGTGTAAGTTGGAGACTCCATCTTTTAACATTTTTCCTGTAGGATTAAAATTTGAAGCCACAAAAGTCAAATAGTCATTATTTTACTTTTTTATTTTACAAATTGAGAAACTGATTTGTTGCCTTTTTTAAAAAAAAATATTTGATTTATTTATTTTTAGAGAAAGGGGAAGGGGGGAGGGAGAGACAGACAGACAGACATTGATTTTTGGTGGCCTCTCTCACCACCCCCATACCAACCAGGGACCTGGCCCTCAACCCAGGCACGTGCCCTGACCAGTAATAAACTTGGCGACCTTTCAGTTTGCAGTTCGACATCCAGCCCACTGAACCACCCCAGTAGAGCCTGATTTGTTGCTACTTAATTAGTGCATTGAGGTCGTGTAAAGTGACTGTAGAACTCAGCTTATGGACCCAAGTCACCATCTTGTCAGTTATAGGAATTCTCTGATGAGTTTCATTTTATTGGTGCCTAGCATTATATTTGGAACTTATTTCTAATGCTAGCATACTAATGTGTTTATTTTATGTGTATCTGAGCTTCCCCTTTGTATCTGATTACTAGGTTTTTCTTGCTTTTTTTTTTTCTTTCTTCCACCAGCTTTTGTAGTAGAACTCTTTGCTGATGTGAAACTGAATATTTATCAAGTTTTGTACCCCTATGGTTTGTGAAATCCTCACCTCCTGGTGTTCTGATCTTCATTTGGAATGGGTCTCAGCATCAGTAACATTTCTTTGAGTGGTTTCTAATGTGTAGCCAGGTCTCAGGACTATGTAATTTAGTGGATAGGACAAACAACTTCTTTCAGAATCACGTAGTGGGCTTGTTATAGCACAGATTACTGGGCCCCACCTCAGAGTTTCTGCTTTAACATATGAAGCGTAACCCAAGAATTTGCATTTCTAGTTCCCCAACAAGTACACTTGAGAATCTCTCCTCTGAAAGACTCAATATGAATGAGAGTCTCCAATATGTTAGAATTCTCAGAAAGTGTCTGATGAGCAGCATTTGTTGGAATTCTAATTCTAGGACCGGATCATTGATGCTGGTCCCAAAGGAAACTATGCTCGGTTCATGAATCACTGCTGCCAGCCCAACTGTGAGACACAGAAGTGGTCTGTGAATGGAGATACTCGTGTCGGCCTTTTTGCCCTGAGTGACATTAAAGCAGGTAAGACTCACTTAAGGATTCTGGAGCTAAGAACACAATTAAAATCCCATATGTCCTATAATCTAAAATGAGATTGGCAAACTCCTAAGGATATATAAAAAACTTGCTGGGTGGTACCTAGCCTGGAATTTTTTTTGTTGGTGGTAAAACATACATAACATGAACTTTACCATTTTAACCATTTTTCAGTGCATAGTTCTGTGGTGTTGAGTCATTGACATTGTTGTGCAACCACCACCATTATTCATGTTCATAACTCTTCATTTTCTCCAAGTGAAACTCTGTACCCATTGAACTAATTCCCGTCTGCTCCTCCCCCAGCTCCAGCAGCCACCACTCAACTTTTTGTCTCTGAATTTGCTCTGGGAACCTCACATGGAGGAGGTCATGCAGGGTCTGTTCTTTGGTGACTGACTCATTTCACTTAATGTAGTGTCTTCAAGCTTGGCTGCGGATGCTTTTAGGTGTCCAAACCTTTTAAATGAATTTTGGTGTGCCTTAGAAATCCTCAGCAATCCACAGCTCCTTTCCTACCATCCGTTTAGCAGTTGCCCACTTTATGATCAAAGATTCTTGTCTTAGTCATCTGAATTTTATGGTTTATGAACCTAAGTAAAAAATGCCTCTCATCTCTAAGATGCCAAAGAACTGGACATAAGTCATATAACAGATAATTTCAATAAATTGAAGGAGCTTAATCTGTAGTATCAAGGTTTTGATGAATTTAGTATCTATGTCCATGCACATATGACACTCTATAAATTGCATGATTAAAAAATATTTAGACTTGCGTAAAGTGAATTTCAAATGTGTAAGTACATAATTTTCAAAATGACTTTTGCAGGGACATTGGTAAAACATTTAAATTTAAAAATCACTCTCTTGTGTTCAGACTGAGATGGGACCAGCCTGGGTATGTGTAATTGACAACAGGGTAGCCCAGTGTGGCTTTACTTCAGGAAACATTAATCAGGATCAAATAATAAAGAGTAATTTGGTCAGCTTTTGGTCTGTCATCTTTTTAAAAAATATCAGTAGGCATCTTCTTCTTCCCCACTTCCTCCCAAAGCTATTTTTTTCTCTACAATTTAAATATAGTGCCCAGCATTTTAAAGGTCCTGACAAGTTTCATATTTTAAAAATTCAGCCACTAGTTCTTTTCTCATGTGTTGCACTACTTAAAGCTTTTAAGTTGTTACGGCAACAACACTTGAGCATGACTGTGTATTGCACTCGCTGAACTAAATGAAAATCACTTTAAAAATTGTTTTAAATGTATTTTTCAATTTTAGTTGCCATACAATATTATATTAGTTTCAGGTAGTACTGATTTTTTAAATGCTGACTTATATCAGGTTTTTTTTAATGGATGGTTTCAGAGTAAATTGGGTAAATTTCTAGTTTGTAACAGGAATTAACCAAGTCAACTCTGTAACAACTACCATTTAGAAGATGCCAGGCACTGTTCCAAGCATATTATCTAATTTAATCCCTGCAAAAATGCTGTAAAGTATATGTTATTATACCTGTGTTATTTGGAATCTTGGGTTTAACTCGTCTTATTCTTCATTTTCTTTGTAACCACCCCGGGGTGGGGTGTGGTCTCTGTGCTCAGGAACTGCTCGGAGGTTACTCAGCCCTGTGACTCTAGTTCCATCTGCTGCCCTGACTACTTTCAGCACCACCCTTGTGCTCGGACCTTTGATCTCTGCTTAGGGAGGCCTCCTCTGCCATGTCTAGGCCCAGGTTTCTCCTCTCTCTTCTTCCACATCAGCTCGGGTAGCATGGTATGGGAATTTGCAGGCCATCTTGTTGTGCTCACTTGACTTCCGATCTGCGTGGGTGGGATGGGGGGATGAGACAGCATGCTGTGCCAGGGTCCCTGTGGGAGCCGCAGCCTTGGGTGGAACTGGAACTGTCCACTTGCTCTCCTCCTCATTCTGCCCACCTCCTGGGCTCTTCACATACCTGCTGTTTTCTGTCTCCCACACGTGCCATAGTCCCTTCACCACCCTGATAAGTTCAGACCTCTCCAGGACTATTGTATGTGGGGCTTTCTAGAATGGTATGAGTCTTATAAGCACATTAAGTTTGTGAAAATTGAGCTATATACTTTCAAAATGTTTAATAAAAATAGTGTGGTGGATTTACCCATTGTTTAGTCCAGTGAGGTCACAGTGAGTGTGAGAAGGGGAACAGCACTGTGCTATTACTTGGTCAGTCTCAGTCCCTGTGCATTTTGTAGTGGGAGCCTCTTGCTAGGCCATGATTGGTTTCATTGTCCATGCCATGCGTACCCCTAAATATAAGCCAGCTGCTTTACAATCTGCTCAACAAGATAAAGAATCTATTTCTAATATAAGATGAAAAACCATACATATGCTAACATATTTTGTATATATATTTATATATTTGTATCATTAGTCTCACTTGTAGAAGATGGGTCAGTCTGCAGGTAAATCTAACATTTGAACATTTTGACTGAATGATTATCACTTAAGCTGTTACCCCTGCCTAGAGACAACCTCGTTGTATACATATATAAAATTCTTATATTTGGCCTTTGCTAAATGTGTTTTGAGTTTGAATATGTTTTATTCGTCCTCTCAGTTTTGATGACATGCATACAGAAAGGGGACCTTTTCAAGGATTTTATTTATTTATTTTTGGAGAGAGGGGAAAGGAAGGAGAAAGAGGGGGCGAGAAACATTGATGTGCAAGAGAAATAGCTATCAGTTGCCTCTCACACGCCCCCAGCTCGGAATCTGGCCCTTAACCCAGCATGTGCCCTGACTGGGAACTGAACCAGTGACCTTGTGCTTCATAAGCCAGCACTCAGCCTACTGAACCACACTAGGGCAGAAAGGGGATGTTTTCCACGTTAAATCTGTACATCTCTCTTTTTTAAGTTTACAAATTACTGTTGTATGCATTGTGTCATATACTCTTAATAAGCTTGTTAGATTGTTATTTCTCCATTTAACAGATGGACTCAGGGCTCAGCTTACTCAGATTGTGGTGCAATGTGAATGTAAAGCCAAGGTTTTGGGTCTGTGGTCTGGAGCTCTCTAGTTCAGTCTGTACTGAGATGTGTCTCCCTGGAGTGCTGCCAGGTGCTCACCGTGGCACAGACCAGCAGGTTTTCTTCATGCCTGCATTCCCAGTGCCTGGCTTATCAGTGGAAGCTGTTTGTTTTTTGGTAATGAATTAATATATTTTGAATCTGAATGGTTAGAAAACAAAAGACAGCTTGGTTTTATAGTAACACCTCTACACTTAAAGTTAGTCTAAATATTATTTGTTAAGCCATTTACATTTTTCTCTTAATAAGTTGTGTTAACTGATTAAAAATGTTACAGGGTTATAATTAATATTTTAGTGATATAGTGGGATTTGGATTAATTTGCTGTTTTAAAAATTAATCTTTTCTCTTAGAAGTCAATAAACTTTGTAATTAATACTGAAATAATGTAATTAAAACCATAGATACTAATATTTTTACGATCTCTTACACAGGCACTGAACTTACCTTCAACTACAACCTAGAATGTCTTGGGAATGGAAAGACTGTTTGCAAATGTGGAGCCCCGAACTGCAGCGGCTTTTTGGGTGTAAGGCCAAAGGTATCTTCCAAACATTTGCATCCGGAATAATGGTGTGGTCCTCCCACCCTAACCAATGTAGGGCTGAGTTTATTTTAAGAGGATGTCTCTTTGAAATAATGAAGAATTGTCATGGCCACTGGTAATTTTACTAACTAAGCATTCTGATGATCAGTTTGGTGACATAAGAGAGTATGAGTATTGTTGGAATGTTTTGAGCGTTCTGACTTCTAATCGGTGGTGCCGTTCTAGCTAAAAATAAAAACCCTGTAAAGTGGGTTACTGCCCACATTTTTATTTGTTTCAGCTGATCTCATATTTCCTAATATGCTGCATAGTATAACACTGTCAATAAACATAAAACCTTTAGTCTTACCATTGTAATAAATATAAACGTTGTTGTGTCTTCCTGGTATTTTATGTGCTCTTTAACTGAATTATAATTCTATAACTGTTAAGAATTGTTTCCAAATCTATATCTCTCCTTTTTTAAATATTATTAAAAACTTTCCTTGCTGTTACATAGTCTTCTTAATCATCATTTTTAGTGACTATTAAGTTTGTTATATAATGGATGGAGCATAATAGATGAACTTCCAGATTTCTCTATTATAAGTAACAGCATACTGAAAATTGAAGTTTAATTTTGATGGATAGTGGATTATGCAGTGACTTCCATTGGGTATTTCCATTATGGTTTTTTGACCATGAAGTCAACATTAAGAACTGAAAAATGCAAATTAATACAGAAACCTGTAAATAAAGAGGGTAATCATTTTGAGCAGTAACACATGAAGAGTTCCCACTAATTACTTTATCTTAAATTATTATAAAATAGTAATTGAGGCTAACCCGAGCTTAATGGTGTTCTGTATACTGGGGATGTCAGCTCCTGCTTCCTTAAGGTCTATGTAGCATTTCACACATGAATCCGTGTTAGAGAAATTCAAGAGCAGAAGCTTTGAAAACCACTGGGTTTAGAGTGCAGGAAGACCTGCTTACTGCACCAGTGTCTGTCTTGGGTAAAGATGCACCACTGTTTGAGGGCAAGGACCATGGCTAGTGCTTTGTGTCTTCCTGGCACATATACAACTCACACTGTGTGCTCAGTGGGGGTTAGTTGAATAGGCTAAGAAATGTAGTGCACACACAAACACAAAGAAAAGTCTTCCTTGGTTATGAAATTAAGGTGAAAATAAAACTTTAAGCCTTGAGTGTCAACAAAAAGAAAAGCATTTATTTTATTTAGGTGGCAGGAGTAGTTGATACAAAAGTTAACAATTAATACAACATTTATTGGGTACCTGTAATGTGCTAGGTGCCTTTTCTGCATTTTTCTCTCATCTTTACAACAGTCTCTGAGGACTGTCTTTTCCCAGAGGAGAGACTGAGGCTCAGAGAGGATAGTTAACCTGGTCAAGATCATACAACTAATGTGTCGACAGAATGCTGACTGCTCAATATCTGACCTCTAGAATCAACCCATTGCCACGGAAGAAAAGTCAAAGAAATTCAAGAAGAAGCAACAAGGGAAGCGCAGGAGCCAGGGCGAAATCACAAAGGAGCGAGAGGATGAGTGTTTCAGCTGTGGGGATGCTGGCCAGCTCGTCTCCTGTAAGAAACCAGGCTGCCCAAAAGTTTACCACGCAGACTGTCTCAATTTAACCAAGCGACCAGCAGGTTAGTGCAAATCAGTTCAGAGTGCTCTTTGTTCTCTGCCAGAATTCTCAGAGCCCTTCGCATAGTACTGACAGGATGTGGGTCCATGTTCTCATTCTGGAAATAAATGACAAGGGCTTAGAAACTTAGGTTATAGAGAGGGAAACAGAAACTTACTTGATAAGTGTCAGGTGCTTTAGTACATTTCTGTTATGTTACTTTATCCTCCTAGCAACCCATAAATATGAGACCTTTTCACCTTTCCATGATGCAGATAAGGAAACAGAATCCAGTTTTGTGAAAAGACTTGTCTCATTAGAGCATATAGTTGGAGGAGCTAGACTGAAAGCCAGGTTTTCTGACCTCAAGGGCACTAGGTCATGTTCCCTTTCTGAAGAAAGAGAGGTTGAGACAGAGTGGAGCTTTGGGTCGTTCTAGTCGGTGGGGCATGGATTGACATCATTTAGACCCCCTGCGGCACACACCTCTGTGAAGGAGGTGCAGCTTTGTGTCAGGTGACATGTGAGGAATCTGCTTAGGCAGATGTGGTGCCCGGGAATCTGTATTTGGAGAAATCCCCCAACTTTGGGTGGTGATTCGGAGTGAGAGGGTTGTAGGGATTTGGACCTGTCATCTGTTTTAGAGTACAGAGGTAAGAAGCCAGTAGGAAACCACTCTGGGTTAAGGAGACTATTTAGTCCAAGTGGCCTGCTTCCTGGAATTGCAGGAAAGAGCAACTTCGGGGTGGGAGTGAGAGGAGTTTGTCTCTGAATCAACCTTCCACCAGTATGTGGTGGCCAGGGTAATGAAATAGTGGAAACCAAGTAGTGTGAGGGCAAGGCCATAACATTGACCTGACCGTGCCAGGAAGTGGAAATGGGAAATCATTTCAGAATCAGCTACTCAGGGCCGTCAATTGGCATAGGCTCTGATGGAACTGATCTTGCCTGTGAGCCAAGAGTCAGGTATAGCATAGTTGGGTTTTTTGGTTTTTTGTTTTTGTTTTGTTTTGTTTGTGTGGGGTTTTTTTGTTTGTTTGTTTGTTTGTTTGTTTTTTAAACAAAAGTGAAAACACTGTCCATGACAGCAGCTATCATGAAATGAAGGCAGAAAGATAGCACCTGAAGTTAGCTTTGGGTCTTTTTCCATTGATTCTGTATGGGCACTACAAGTAAAGTTTGTGCTAGTTTTTTAATTATTATTATTTAATTATTTCTTTTACTTTTGAAGATTTTATTTCTTTTTAGAGAGAGGGCAAAAAGGGACAAAGAGGGAGAGAAACATCAATCCGTTGCCTTTAGCATGCCTTCAACTAGGGACCTGGTCCCACAACCCACGCAGGTGCCCTCACCGGGAATCAAACCAACAACCTTTTGTTTTGCAGACCAGCACTCAATCCACAGAGCCACACCAGCCAGGACTCAATTTATTATAATTTTTTTCCATTAGTGTATAGTCCCCTTACACCTGCCTTCCCGTCGTCTGCTATTTTCAAGACTTAAAATTGAGCAAAGGTATAGCTGCTTCCTCTTCCTACTTATAAGCAAATAAGTAGGAGTTTATACATAGCTGAGATTTTCCTCTTGGAATTAATATTTAAAGGCTGTATAGGACAAAAAGAGTTTGCAAAAATATGAAAGTAATCTCCTCACATCCTACCTAAAGGAAGCTTTGGGTGATTTTTCCTTGCTAGAAATAGAAAAAAGGACTTACTCTTGCTTGTATATTTAGTTGCTACTTGGTACTTGGCTGGGTTTTTGTTTTGTTTTGTTTTGTTTTGATTTTGTGGGTAAAGGGGTAGACAGAGAGAGAAACATGGAGTTGTTGTTTTACTTATTTAGATATTCATTGGTTGATTCTTGTATGTGCCCTGACTGAGGATTAACTGTGCAACCTTGGCATATTGAGACAACCTCTAACCAACTAACCTACCCAGCCAGGGCCCTGGCTGTTATTTTTATAAGTGGTAGTACAGAAGAGGAGGCCAAGATCCTGGGGCCAGGGAAGCATGAGGTTTCTGCAGAACACGGCAGCTTGAAATCACTTCCTTGACCTGGTTCCAGAGCCATGACCCATCTTGTATGTATGTCTTGTTTTCCTAAGCTTTTGTTTCATGTCTGTGTTTTCAGGGAAATGGGAGTGTCCTTGGCATCAGTGTGACATCTGTGGGAAGGAAGCAGCCTCCTTTTGTGAGATGTGTCCCAGTTCCTTTTGCAAGCAGCACCGGGAAGGGATGCTCTTCATCTCCAAATTGGATGGGCGCCTGTCTTGTACAGAGCATGACCCCTGTGGGCCCAACCCTCTGGAACCTGGGGAGATCCGTGAGTATGTGCCTCCCCCAGTACCACTGCCTCCAGCCCCAAGCACTCACCTGGCAGAGCAATCATCAGGAGTAGCTGCTCCGGGACCGAAGATGTCGGACAAGCCACCTGCTGAAACCAATCAGACATTGTCGCTGTCCAAAAAAGCTCCAGCAGGGACTTGTCAGAGGCAATCGCTGCCTGAAAGACCTCCTGACAGAACTGACTCCAGGCCCCAGCCTGTAGATAGGGTCCGGGCCCTTACAGGGTCAGGGACCAAACCTCAGTCCTTGATCTGCAGCCAGAAGCCATTGGACAGGCCACCTGCAGTAGCAGGACCAAGACCCCAACTATCTGACAAATCCTCTCCAGTGACTGGCCCAAGCTCCCCGCCCTCCGTCAGGTCCCAACCACTGGAAAGACCACTTGGGACAGCTGATCCAAGGCTGGAAAAATCCATAGGTGCTGCCAGCCCGAGGCCCCAGTCCCTGGAGAAAACCCCAGTTCCTACTGGCTTGAGACTTCCACCAACAGACAGACTGCTAGTCACCAGCAGCCCCAAACCCCAGACTTCAGACAGGTCTCCAGACAAATCCCATGCTCCTTTGTCCCAGAGATTCCCACCTGCTGACAAAGTACTATCAGCTGTGGTCCAGACCTTGGTGGCTAAAGAAAAAGCACTGAGGCCTGTGGACCAGAACACTCAGTCAAAAAATAGAGCTGCTTTGGTGATGGATCTCATAGACCTCACTTCTCGCCAGAAGGAACGGGCAGCTTCTCCTCATGAAGTCTCACCACAGGCCGACGAGAAGATGCCAGTGTTGGAGTCCAGCTCGTGGCCTGCCAGCAAGGGTCTGGGGCAGATGCCCCGAGCTATTGAGAGAGGCGGTGTGTCAGATCCTGTCCTTCAGCCTCCCGGAAAAGCTATGGCCCCCTTGGAGCACCCCTGGCAAGCTGTTAAGTCATTCACCCAAGCCAGACTTCTTTCTCAGTCCCCTGCCAAGGCTTTTTTATATGAGCCAGCAACTCAGGCCTCAGGAAGAGCACCTGCAGGGGGTGAGCAGATCCCGGGGCCTCCCAGCCAAGCACTGGGCCTGATGAAGCAGGTGAAGCAGATGGCTGGAGGCCACCAACTACCTGGACTTGCTGCCAAGAGTGGACCGTCCTTTAGGTCTCTTGGGAAGGCCCCACCCTCCCTCTCCGCTGAAGAGAAGAAGTTGGCAACCACAGAGCAGAGTTCCTGGGCCCTGGGAAAGGTCTCACCCGGGCCAGGGCTCTGGCCCATGGTGGCTGGACAGACACTGGCCCAGTCCTGCTGGTCCTCTGGGAGCACACAGACGATGGCGCAGACTTGTTGGTCTCTTGGAAGAGGGCAAGACCCTAAGCCAGAGCAAAGCCCATTTCCAGCTCTTAACCAGGCTCCTTCCAGTCACAAGTATGCAGAGTCAGAACAGAAATAATGCCAGTGAATGTCATGTGACCAGACCAGCTATACCCCCAGGGTTCTTGGGGGAGGGAAATATTCACCCCCCCCTTCCAAAAACAGACCCCGACACTTTTCCGCTGTTATTCTTTCTTTATATCCCAGCATTCAGAATTCTGGTGACATTAGCCAGTGGGCTTGTGGCTATGTGAACCATGTATGGAAATCCAAGTGGGCCTCAGCCAAGGAGACAGACAGACTTGGGTCTCTTTCCCTCAACCTTTACACATGGTCAACTTGAAATAAAAAGTCCACTCTGGAGTCAAGCATGGGATTCAATTCCACTGGTCAGGTTGGAAGGAAGGTACAGGGGCTCTCTATTTCTCTAGCCCTGCAGACCTCCACCGAGGGCACCTGATGAACCCCTGGGAGGAACTGATAATCCATTCAAATCAGTGGTGATTTCTTGAGCATTCTCGTGTGCTAGGCCAGGTGCTAGTCACTGATAGGAGATACAGAAATAAATAAGACCTGATCCCTGTGAGCCTAACATGCCTGCCTGGGCTTCCAGGCTGCTTTCAAGAACCTTTGACCAGGAAATAATACGAAGAGTTGAGGGGCCCTGAGGCTCCAGGCTCATTCTGTAATGTTCCTTGTGGCCCCAGAAATGGTCGTGTTGAGTGTGGTTCTTCTGGCCGGGTGTGCATGTGTGCACGTGCAGATGTACCTAGGCAGGAGGGGCTGCACAGAGGCCAGGCAGGGCTGTTGGCTGGGAAGCCACTGCTGCTTCTGTCTGGGTGGTGCAGTCTGAAGGTCTGTACTTGACGGAACAGCTGGTTGGGGGCTGGGCTCCACAGGGGCATGGCTTTCCCACAGTGTAAGAAGGCAACTGGCAAGCGTACCTTTTTTACCAGTTTTCCTCCTTTTACATCAACCCACCCATGCCTGTTCCCCAGACACTCAGGTGCTTTCAGATTTCAGAGTCTCGGGCAGTGGACCTAAGGAATCTCTGGCAAGCTCTGGGCTAGATCCACCACCAGCTCAGGGAGGTTGCCAGGCCCTGATGGAAAATTACTTATTTTCTGATTATTTGCTCTTCTACCTGAATGGAAGGAGTCCTCTTCTTCACTAGTGGATTCTGCCACCTTCTTCCTGAGAATTGTGCTCTATGTTGAGAGCACTTGCCTGCTGACTCAGTTCAAAGGCAACCATAACCCTTCCTTTATGACTGGCAAGATGTGGCATTTAGAGAAATGTCCAGTCTAAGAGTTGACTCCTCATAACTGCTGATTATCTGTTACTGCTGCCCTGAGCTGGGGCTCAAGGGCTGGGAAATCTGTTGGTGCTACCCTGCCCTACCGTTCACCCAGCTCACTGACTGCCAACAGGAAGTGCTGTTTGGTCAGTTCCTTCCCATTCACTCACGCCTCCTTTGTCCCTAGACCAAATGTGTTTACCTCTCTGCTTTGCCAACTTAGCCAGCAGCTTTAGCCAATCAGGTCACCTGGCCCAAATGTCTCCTGACCATTCTGTCTCAGTTAGGCTTTTAACCCCTCAACAGGATTCTGTATTTTGTCCCAGTTTCCCACTAAGTTCCCTAATGAGGTTGCTCCGATCACTCTTAAGGAGGGAACAATAGTTCTTATAGAAGCATTTGCGCTTTATATAAAGATTAAAAAGAGACTTCGCTTTTATTTCCCAAAGTTAGTCTCTGGGGTTGAGACACTTGAACTCAGGCAGAGGCACAAGGCTGGGCAGGGCTGCCCCGAGTTTAGGGGCCTGTCCTTGCATCTCACTTAGACCTCGGAACCTCCTCTGTAAATTCCACCTGCCTAGTTCTCCCCTTCCATCCTATAATCTCTTCCCACATCATCAGAGAGGAAAAGCTCTTTGTTTGAAAGGAAGAGAAAACAAAGCATCTTATTTTCTTTTTTAAAAATTTTAAACCATGGAAAAGATATTTTTAAAGAAATCCACCCAGAACATTAAAGTTCATTATATTAAGTATTTATCATGTGTGAGAATAATAAGTATATATCTGCAGCTAGTAAGTCTTTTCCCTAATCTCTTAGGTTGTATGATAGGGTTTGCTCGGTGCCAGTCCTGTGCCCTTTCCCGTCATCTGTAGTCGTGATCAGAAAAAGTATCCGCACTGCACTGTTAGACCCTCCTTCACTATGTTGTGTGCTAAATTACCGTAGCTCTTTGTTTCATGAAATAAACTGTGAATTTTTGTGTGTGTGTGGTGGGGGGTTGTGCAGGCTATGTAAAAATTTGTAAGTGGAGAAGTTTGATTCTGAAGCAGCTTCTCTGAAGTAGGCTTTGGTAGGTAATTGACTTGACAGCCGCTCTAAAGAACTCCCACAGTTCAGGAAGGAGTGAGGGAAAGGTGAGCCATGATTGGCCACTTTGTGGTTTTGCTTTGGTCTTTTCTATTTTCCATCATTCACTGGTAACTTCCTTCCAGACCTGCCTAGGAAAACAACATAAGAACTATGTTTGGTTTTGGGGGTAGGAGGCAGTTCTTTATCTAGATGGATGGAGTGCCAGGCTTTCCTGAGGGCCATGGAAGGAGTCTCTCAGGTTGAATGGAAACTACAGATTCAACTGTCAGGCCCCCTGATCACAGCAGATGTTAATGACCTCTAATGACCTCTAGGTCATTAACATCTTCACACCATGAAAGCAGTCATTGTACAATTAAGAGTAGAATCAAGACTGTTGAAAAGTGAGACTCTGGCCTGATGGTGGGAGTGACCTAGCCAGCCCTCGGGGGTCCCCTGGAGCCTGCACTGAGGCCTTTTCTCCAGGGAGTGTGAATTGGCAGTTAAAAGGAAGTCATTTCTTAGAAGTTCCTGATCTTTGTGCAGAATGATATTTTGGGTATTTGGCCAAGTGCTTGGAAATTGGAATCTCAAGAGAGTTTGCCTCTAAGCCAATTCCCCAGGAAGCCTTTCCCAGGGGGATGCCATAGCTTCTTCCATAGACAGAACAAATACCTCTCCAAGCCCTGTTAAGTCAGGGGAAAAAAGCTTAAGGAAACTGTTAAATTCAAAGCCTCATTTGCTTCTCATACTGAAGCTAACCCATTCTAATAACAAGATAGCTGTCACTACTACAAAAGCATACAAGTTTTTAAATGTCTGCTTCCCCCTACAGTTACTGAGTGATTTAAATCACTGTGTTGATCCTCTTCCAAACAACTACCAAATCTACATCTTTGGCACTGATGAAAATTAAGTGTATTTTCCATATCCTCTACCCCACCCCACGGTCAGGGCATGAAGCGCACAGCAGCTCTTTCACAGGTTTGGCAGTGTCTACTCGCTGGAGCTGGACTCCCAGGTTGCCTTGTGAGAACACAGTGGAGGCGAGAAGTCTGGTCCTGGCAGCTTCCCCTGTGGAGAGGAAGTAGGGGAGCCCTACACATGGGCGGGTTCTGGCTGCAGCTTCTATGAAGCGGGTCTTCTAAGGCTTTTTGGGGGGATGTTGCCATCTTCTTGGGATTTGTCAACCAGGAGGTCAGAATGGCCCAGTGTTGTGACCTCTCTGAGATGGAAGCAGGAAGGCGCTGCCATGAGCCCCATTCCTGCTGAAGGACGTTTGGGCTGTTCCACGTATTAAGACATTCCAGATTGTTTAGAGCTAGGTAGCCACTGCATGAGGTTGGCTGTGGCCTAGAAAGCTTAGTCTTAGCCGAGCTTTCTAAGGCCAGAGTTTGCTATAGTATAAATTGAACTAAGAATAGATCGTTGCTTTGTACACTCAAAAAAAAAAAAAAAAAGTAATGATGGTGCTAATTTCCCGGTATAAATAAGCACTGCCAAGGGTTGAGGGACTGGCGACTTGAGAAACCCAGCTTCCTGTTTGGGAGGAAGAGATTTTATGTAGAACAGTTTCCTTGAGGCTCCGTTTGAGAGGAGAGGGGCAGAACCTCGTCGAAGGCTGTACCCAGCCCTGGAGTGGTCCAAAGCAACACAGAGGTGGAAGAAATGCTGTGTCCAGATGAGTGTGGCCATTGAGTCTCTCAGGGCTGGCATCACCTTGTCCATGGCCTCCATCCACACTGCCTGGAACAGGTCGGTAGAGTGCTCCAGGTACAGGGTCTCCCTTGGTTACCCTCTGCCCCTCTCTACCCCTTCTACTCTTGTGGGAACACCTCTGTTGCTTATGAAGATTAAGGGTAATGTTTCTTAAGGAAGTGGTAGGTTTATTTAGAAGTCCACAACCTGGGAAGTGTTTCCTACCAACATAAGCAAAAAACAGCACACATGAAATTCTTAAGTGGTCCCTTTTCTAGAGCTGCTTTCTCATGACTTTCCAAAAATCAGGCTGTGGAGGGGCTTCACATGTAGCACTCTGGAAGTCAAGCAGAAGAGCTTTGTGGACAAGAGGTGTGAGCACCGGGAGTAGCAGCAGAAATAGTTCTGGTGCTTTAGACTTCCAGGGTAGGGGCAGAGAGCAGGTGGGCTCCAGGCCTGAGGTGGGTGCTGCCTGTGTGTGCATGTAGGTGAGTGTGTGTAGAGGATGGGTGAGTGCAGCACACAGGAGCTCGTGGAAGAGATTTCTAAGTCTTGGCGAAGAAACAAGCTGACAATAGAGATCTATCTTTATATTTTTAAGAAAGGGATGTGGGGGAATCAGCTGAGGTCCATCACCTTTTTTTTTTCCTCCTCCTCACCCCCATAGATTGTCAGCTATAAGTGAAACTCTTAGTGGAAAAGAGGGGAGCCCTGTGCTAGGAGTCCCCATAAACATGTACTGTAATTCTTTGTATATAGAAAAAAAATTACTGTAAAGTAAAGTTTAACTTTACTCTTATGGCCCTTACCCTGTGTTGTGTTTTGTTGTCTGTGGGGAAATGTAGCCCAGCAGGAGGGAGGACGGGTTTGTGGTGAGAGCAGGAGCCAGCCCCAAAGCGAGTTTCCAGTGGACACGCTGGAGCCGAGCCCCTCTTCCAAACCTCCGGGGGCGGGGGGGGGGGGGTTTCCTCCCAGTAGTGGTTAGGTGCCAGAATGTATTTCAGGAGTGGCTGGTTAGTTTCGGTCCCTACACAGGAAGCCTTCATCACCCATAAAGTAAGGATATTTTGAGGAATTGGTTTTTTAAAAGGAAGTAGAACCAAAGGACTTCCTGAGTGAGTCTGACCATCTTGGCCAACTTTAGTTCTTCAGAGGCAGGTGCTAAGCCCTGCAGAGGGCCCAGCCTAAGGTGGGAAAGCCAAGGCGAAGGGGCCAAGCCTCCATAAACGTCCTTTTTGAACAGGAAGCGTCAGCCTAGCTTACAGTTAACACCTGATCCTTCAGAAATATTTGGACCTACAAGGCCTAAAGCTACACTTGAGGCAACCTTGGGAGTCTGCCTCCCCGAGACCTAGTCCTGAACTTCCTGCCTCTTCAGCAGTCCTCTGGGGAAGGTACATCTTTAGTCCTAGAGTTTACTTCACAGTCCTGAACTGGGCAGTGGTTACTTTTAGAGGTAAGAAATTGACACCAAGTTTAGGTCCCTTATTCAATTCTGAGTCCAAAGACCTTTGTCTTACAGAACCTATGATTTTTCTCATTATACTACATTGCCAGATGCTGACGGGAAGCTTAGGATCTGAGCCACAGGTGTGACTCAGGCCTAGGTGTGATAGATGTGGTAGGACCAGTCTGAGGTAGGAGTGCTTGATCTTTGATCTCTGGACACAACTTAAGTCCCTGCCTAGCTCTTCTCAGCACCAGGAAGGAACTGTGAGCACTGCACTGTTCCAACCCCAGCCTTTGGCCCTAACAGAGTACAGGAAAGGGCTCTCATTTCTCCAGTATTTCAGCTGCAACCCTGGAGTAAAGTAACTTTAGGGCTGGGAGGAGCCTTCATACAGGAAGTGAGGCCGGCCAGCCAGCCGGCCTGAGAAAGAACTTGGAGCCTTGATACCCAACTACACAGCAGGGAAAGGGGCTGAGTGTGGTTCACAGTGCATTGATTTTATTTACAAATCAGATGCTACTTAATCTGCAGACACAAGTGCTGTTAAGGACAGAGGCCTGGAGTCCAAATCAGCCTTTCCCCTCCTGATGTCCACCAGTCCGCCCAACGCTGCATCTGTTCCATGGGCCAGCACAGGCAGGTGCCACCCTGCTGCCATGGGACTTGGGGTAGCTCACACGTGTGCCCACCCAAGCCCAGACAAGAGCTAGGTCCAGCCCCTTGGGGAATTCCTTTAATTCCCCCAGGCCAAGTGAGTGGCGATTTCAGTGATGGCAACAGCTGTAGAAGTAGGGGTTTGCCTTCTGGCTCAGATCCACGCCCTTGTCCTCTGTCAGAGAGAGAGGTGGCAGCTCAGCACCATTCTGTTGGGGGATCTGATAACCACCGTGAAGGGGGCTAGATGCTGAGGGCCTAGACGGAGTCTCCAGAGAGGCTAGGGAAGTACACACCTGTCATCACCTGGAAGGCGGCCACACTGACGTAATCCTCTGCCACTTTCTGGAAGAGCTCGTCTGGCAGGAAAAAGGACCATCAGTGAGGGCCCAATGCCAGCAGCCCTGGGATCACCCAGTGACAGCCGTCTAGGCTCTGCTCTGCTTCGTCTGGTGCCCCCGCTGGCTCCTGCTGTGAGGCCCAGGACAGCACTCACCCACACTCTGGCCTGTCTTGCTGGATGTTTCAAAGAGCTGAGCTTTGATATCTGTAAAGAAAAATGACTAAAGCCTCATATCTGAGAGCCAGGTGGCTACAGACAAAGGGGAAGTCTAGCAGTGCAGGGGCGCTATTGGACCCCACAGTTGAAGGAGGCCAGAAAGCTTTCCCAGGGCAATGGAGGCAGTCCCTACTTTTCGTGACCCGCTGGAGCAGCATTTCCCTCCCCCACCCCCAGGGAGCTGAGGAGAAGCTACTGTCTGCATAGTCCTGGACGTCGTGGAAGTCCACACGACGACGACGCCTGTCCTCCTCCAGCAGGTCACTCTTGGTGCCACACAGGTAGATCTGACAGCCCTGAGGCAGAAGACAAGGTCAGAATCACCCACAGAGACCACCAGAGCACCAGCCCGGAGTCCTCTGGTGAGATCTGACCACCTACCTCCTCCATGTTGCGCAGTTCCTTCACCCAGAACTTCGCCCGCTCAAAACTGCTGCTGTCCGTGAGGTCTTGGCAGGGGGCAGGCAGGAAACAGTCAGGGTTAAGGGCTATTCTCTACGGTCAGCCTAGCCCACCCCCTCTGGCTTGAGGAACAGGCCAGAACCTCGCCTTTACCGTAGCAGACGATGGCAGCCTTGGCGCCCCGATAGTAGATTCGACTCATAGCCTCGTAGCGCTCGGAGCCTGCTGTGTCCTGAAGGGCAGGGGAAAGCTCAGCCATGGCCCGAGTTACTGAGCCATGGCTGCAAATTAATGCGTCCTCAAACACCCACTTTTAAACTGGGTCTAGGGAAGAGAAATGGCCTCTGTAAGGCCACAGATCAGACAAGAACAGAAGGGATCAAGCCTCCTCAGGAATGGGTTTTCCCAGAACTACCTGCCCAGGGCACTTACCCAAATACCCAAAGTCACCGTCCGGTCTCCGACAGACATCACCTTGGCCACGAAGGCGGCCCCAATGGTCTGCAACCAAGGGAAAACGATCAGAACCGTGGACGAGTGCTGGCCTCCCACCTGCGCCGGCCCCGCGAGGCGCACTCACGTTCTGGTAGGGCCCCACCAGGAAGCGGTCGTGCACGTAGCGCTCCACCAGGCTCGTCTTGCCCACGTATTCCTTGCCAAGCATCACCACCTTGACGTCCACCCGCTGCCCGCTCATGCTCTCGCGGCCGCCTCACCCGCGTCAGGGCCCTGCGCCCCCGCGACGGGTAAACGCGGATTTCCACTCGGGCAGGGAGCGCCCAAGCCTCCGTCCCTACGACTCGAGACACCACGGTGGGCTTCAGCTACAGCAGCGCCCTGCTGTCCCCCCTTCCCCCTCGGCCCCGGGCGCCGATCCTCCTCCCGAGAGCCCAGGGCCCGGGGCGGCCCGGGAGCGCGCGGGGCAGCGCCCTCAACGGCGCCGCACGCCGCCGCCCAGCTTGCTCGCCGCCGGGCTCAGGCGCCGCCACAACTCGGACTCCCCACGGAGCTCGGAGTCCCCGCTAACCCGGCTCAGGCCAGCAGCTCTGCGACTCCCGCAGCGGGTGGGGTTAGAGGGCGAGGGGGTGGGACCGCGGGTCACGTGCACAGGCGCCGGAAGTGGTGGGTACTGCGCTTCTGCGCCGGAAGTGGCGGGCGGCTGGACAACTCCTCATGGCGGTGGCTGCCGGTGGAGCGCAGGGTGGTGGTGACTGAGCTGCGTGCCTGGCGGGCGTGCGCCGAGGCCCGGCCTGGTCTGCGCGTGCCCCTTGGGCTCTGCACCCCTGATGCTGCACGGGTGTTGATCCCGCTCCGGCCGGGACGATGGTGAAGTATTTCCTGGGCCAGAGCGTGCTCCGGAGTTCCTGGGACCAAGTGTTTGCTGCCTTCTGGCAGCGGTACCCGAATCCCTATAGGTACGTAGCCCGGGATATAGCAGCCTTTCCCCTCACTGTTTGGAATCGAAATGTGGGACCAGGAAGGACTCTATGTCGAGTCCGAGGTAGGGGATCGCCGGAGCCGTGGCCGTCCGTAGAGTTAGAGGACCCTGTCGGGGAAGTGGCCAGGCCTGCAGAGTGCTGGAAGGAGGCCGGGCCTGGGCGGTGGTTTACTTGAGGCCGTATTCTAAAGCTCTGTCGACTGCCGGTGGCTGGCGAGACAGGAAGAGGCGGCGGCACGGGAATTGGGAGGGTTCCTGGGGATGGAATTCCCAGACGTTCTCCTACTCCTCTGCTGTGGCGCTCTCCAGCGGTGCAATAAATCAACAAGGCCCGCCATGCTGGGAGGCCCAGGAATCCAGGTCAGCGAGGGGGCAGGAGTTGGAATTTGCCCTGGGATAGGTTCAAAGGACTCCATCTTCAGGCCTGAGCTACAGCACAGATCACTGCAAGTTTAGGAGAAGTTCTGACCATTCTGGGCCGGGAGTCTCCAGATGGGAACCCCAACAGGCAGTCTCTCAGGGTCAGGCTCCCGACGGTCACCGTCACTCTTGACACCTGCAGCAAGCATGTCTTGACGGAAGACATAGTGCACCGGGAGGTGACCCCTGACCAGAAGCTCCTGTCCCGGAGACTCCTGACCAAGACCAACAGGATGCCCCGCTGGGCCGAGCGACTGTTTCCTGCCAATGTTGCTCACTCGGTGTACATCCTGGAGGATTCTATTGTGGACCCGCGGAACCAGACCATGACCACCTTCACCTGGAACATCAACCATGCTCGGCTGATGGTGAGACTCTCTTGGTCCCCCCGAAAAGTGGATAGAGCTCCTGATACCTGTGGCTCTGGAGCCAGTGATGCTGAAAGTGGTTTTCAAACAGTAGTCTATTGGGCCATAAGGGTGCCTTGGGTGTGCCTCATAAGGGAGAGGATCTGGGCCCCCACGGACCAGAGGAGTTACACTCTTACATGCCTTACACAATAGAGTTCAGCCTAAGGTTTGGGGGGATATGAGGTTTCATGCATCTTTGATCTCTTTTTAAATCTTGAGAACCCTGACCCAGCCAGGTAGCTCAGATGGTTATGAATGTCGTCCCAATACACAAAGGTTGAGGGTTTGATTCCCAGTCAGAGCACATACAGGAATCAATCAGTGAGCCCTGGCCAGCATGGCTCAGTTGGTTGAAGCATCGTCCCGTAACCGAAAGGTTGTGGGTTCAATTGCCCATCAGTGTACATGCCTAGGTTATGGGTTTGAACCCCAGTCTGCGCACACACGATCCCTGGTCCAGGCACGTACAGGAGGCAACCAGTTGATGTTTCTCTCTCATATCGATGTTTCTCTCCCATTCTCCTCCTCTGAAAGTGGTCAGAAAATATCCTCTGGTGAGGATTAAAAAAACAAAAAACAAAAAACAGTGAATGCATAAGTAAGTGGAATAAAAAAATGGATGTTTCTCTCTGCCTGCAGAGTGCTGGAAGGAGGCTGGGCCTGGGTAATGGTTTACTTGAGGCCGTAGTCTAAGGTTCACTCCCTTCCTCTTTCTACTCATTTTAGAATCAGTAAATAATTTTTTTTTTAACTTGAAACCCCATGGTTTCAGGAACATTCTGTAGTGTTCTCTCATGTATGAATACCCCAAAGCTTTCAGAGAACTTTCTGTCTTTCTCACCCAGTCTTCACAGTAACCCTCAGAGGTGGGAGTTCCCTCTAGTGCAAAGGAGAAAGTGAGGTGCGAAGAGGGGACGTGTCCTGCAAGCTCACGGAGTGAGCTGGCAGCTTAGTCCACTGCTCCAGAGTCACCGGAGGCCTCGCCGCAGACTGCCCAGAGGGCACTGCCTACTTTCTAAACCACCCAGGTGGTGACCCTGCCGTGAGAGGTGGCGTCCTGGTCAGCTGTGAGACAGGTCTTTGAGGGGTTCTGTGGGGAGTGATGGTCCCTTTTCCTCTGATAATGAGAGCTGTGACAATGGCCAGATTTCCATTTTTATTTGCATTGCCAGTGACCTGGAGAGCTGCAGCAGATAGTAGGCCAGCTAAGAACATTGCCCCCGTGTAGACATAAAGGTGCCGAACCAAATCTAGGGCCAAGGTAGAGCCGGAAGGCCCCCTGGTGATCACAAGAGGCCATTTGCCATCTAGTTTAAAGGGTCAGAAGAGATTGTAGAGACCATAATGACCTTTATGTTCTTGCTTTTCTGTAAATAAGGCTTGGGATGCAGTAAGGAATGGGTCTTCGTTTTATTGCTCTCCCTCGTAAAATGAGGCAGTGAGTCATGTTTATGAGAAGCTGGCAAAATGAAAGACTCCCACAGAGTTGTTTGGCTGGGCTCCCTGCACAGGTGGTGGAGGAGCGATGTGTTTACTGTGTGAACTCTGACAACAGCGGCTGGACCGAAATCCACCGGGAAGCTTGGGTCTCCTCTAGCTTATTTGGCGTCTCCAGAGCTGTCCAGGTGAGCAGCGGCTTGGGGGTGCTGGTGTTCTGAGGCCCGGGGCATTGGGCATAGAGACTGGGCTGGAGGTCAATGGGAAGCTCAGAACCCTCCCCCTTCTCATCTTTTGCCAGGAATTTGGTCTCGCCCGGTTCAAAAGCAACGTGACCAAGACGATGAAGGGCTTTGAGTACATCTTGGCCAAGCTGCAAGGTGAGAACCTCCCAGGCACAGGCTGGGGTCAAGTCCTAGCTGCCCTGACCGGTGTGGAGCCCAGGACTCCTCGCCTGTACCCTGGGCAAATGCCACCTTTCTGACAGGGCCTGGCTCCCCGGTGGTGATGGTTGTGGGGAGCGATTAGGTGGGTCTTCTCAGCATCCTCTGAAGCCAGCCTCCTGCCCTTTGCTGCAGGTGAGGCCCCTTCCAAAACCCTGGTTGAGACAGCCAAGGAAGCCAAGGAGAAGGCAAAGGAGACGGCACTGGCAGCTACAGAGAAGGCCAAAGACCTTGCCAGCAAGGCAGCCACGAAGAAGCAGCAGCAGCAGCAGCAGTTTGTGTAGCCAGCCCAGGCCCTTGGGCTGCAGCACGCCAGACCACCCGCTGCACTCCTCCCTCTGCGCCCCCCCCCCTTGTGCTTTATTATTAAAAGTCAACTTCCAGCCTGATCTCCTGTCTGGGTGGTGGGTTGGGGGTGGTGTCTGTTTGGCATCTGCAGTGCACCAGACACCTTATCCATGTCTGGGCCAGGCCCGCTTCTTCCTGCATCGGCTGGCATGGAGAGCGGGACCGTGACTTGCCCAGGGTCACAGAGAGGGTGCAGGTGAAGGGATCGTAAATGCTAGACTGTAAGCTCCATGAGGGCAGGAACCTTCATTTGTTTGTTTGTTTGTTTTTCCTCTGCTGTGTCCCGAGTACCTGGAACAATATCTAGTACATAATAGGCACTCAATAAATATTTGTTGAATTCAATCAGCCTCAGCTGTAGAGTCAGAAAGCTTTGGTTTGAATCTTGACTCCAGTGTACCCTGGCTTTGGGCCCCAGGCGAGTCCTGTCACTCAGCCTCGGCCACACCTGCAAAATGGGGCCTGCCAGCGTCTGGGCTGTGTGGGCTGAAGGGGCAGTGCAGACCCACCAGTGGTACTGGTGGTGGCTGCTGATCTCATTTCCTCCTTCCCGTCTTGTGGCTGGGAGTTTCCCCATTTTCATCAGGCAAGACCATGGACAGGAAATTAAGAAAGAACCTTTTAATGAAAATACTGTACAGTATCTGTGGGATAAAGGCCAGGTGGCCTTGTCTAGGAAGGAATGGGGGGGGGGGGGAGGCCAAGAGGCTTCCTGTCCCCATGGGGACAGCAGAGCCAAATGCTACACAAAAGAAAAATGCCTGGAAAGGCAGTCCAGGCCCAGGTGCCTGCACCGCGGCCCCTGGGTGGCCCCTAGGAGGGGCTCCCGCAGCCAGTGGCCAAGCAGGGGGAGCACCTGTTCCCATGCCAAGGTCCTTTTAGTTCATTCCAACAGGAGGTGACTCTGGGCAACCCTGGAGGCTTGGGAAGGGCTCCTGTCCCGCAGAGCGGAGGAAGGGGGTCTGAGGGAAAGGCGTGCTCTGGGGCAGCGAGGGTCATAGCCAGGCGCGGCTGTGCGAGTAGCTGTGCTCCTGGCCGGCACTGAAGCCCCGAAGCAGCTCGGCCTCACCCCCGAACACCAGGCTCTCCACATCCACTTCCAGTTCCTCTGCACAGGGACGGGTCCAGTCAGGAGACCTGGCCCACCGCCCTGCCCAGCCCCCTTCTGCTTCAGGGCACTCACCTTGGTCCGAGTCGGAGCGCTCCGAGGCAAGGCCCGAGGAATCCAGGCTGTCCGCGCGCAGCCGCTCCCGCTCGCCCGCCCCCGCCGGCCCCCGGAGCCTCGCCAGCTGCCGCTGCAGGCTCTGCTGCTCACTGCGCAGCTTCTCCTTGAGCCGCCGGGCCCGCTGCTCCTGCTCCTCCAGCTTCTGCAGAGCCCGAGGGAGCAAAGGGTGGAGTCAGCTGCCCAGGGGCCCGGGCACCACCCCAGGACAGCTCCGCAGCGCCACGGCTCCTCTGTGACAGCCTGCCTGCTCCTGATGGGGTTCACTAAGCATGGGCTCCACAGGCTTCCTCCACATCCTCCAGGAACTCAGGCCCTGCACTGCCATGTAAATGGCCTGAGCATTCTGTCTAGCTGGGTAGGGAGGGCGGACAGCACAATCTCAAAGACGTTCAGCGGTTAGTCAGGTGATGGGAAGGAGTGCCCAGTGTTGTACCACGCAATAGGGAGGGGGTGGGGGACCAGTATGGACTCCAGGTGAAGGAGGCAGCCGCCTCGGGGTCCCAGCCAAATGCTGCCGTGTGAGAAGAGGCCCAACCAAGTGTAGCCAGATTACTCAGCTTCTTTGAGAGCTGGAAAGTCACATTCTTCATGTTATGTGGCCTCTTAAGTGCTGCCAACTAACTTAATTTTTGGAAAACTAGAGACTAAACAAAGGCTACCAGTTTGTAACTCTTGGTCAAGACCCTCCTAGGAACCCCAAGCTTTCTTCAGCGTTAATCTGCTCCCCCCACCTCCACCAGAGCTCTGCCAGCCCCGCACACTACGGACTGGAAGGCCAAGGGCCGTCCCATCAGAGCCCTGGGTGGGCAGGAGCCTGCAGTCCACAAGAAGGGGAGCTCGGGGAGGGGCCATTGGGACTGGGTATAGAGGGATGAGTGACAGCTGCCTAGGCGAAGAGCGGGGAGGAGAAGCAGCCAAGCTGAGGGAGACCAGGAAGAGCAACAAAAATTCAGCTTTTTGGTGGGGAATGGGGAAGAGGTGAGACTAAAAAAGCAGGCCAGTGACAAGGCCTGAGATGTGGAAGGCCTTGACTTCATAGAAGGACTGAGAAGGTTCTGTCACGACCCATGGAAGGTCTTCCAGCAGGAGACAGACCTAAAGAGATCTACCGCCTGCTACAAAGAACATCCTAAGGCAAGGAAGGCAGAGGACAGCCTGGATGACGCAAAACAGGAAGCAGGGAGTCCAGGAGGGGGTGGGCGGGGCTTTAAGGAAGGAGCGATCCCGGTCCCGCCCACTGTCCCTCTAAGAATCAGGCTAGGAAGGCTCCGGGCGGGAAACCAGGGCCTACTGTCCAGCTAGGGTGTTACTGAGCCACCATGAGGGGAATGCAGGCACCTGTGGCACAGTGTGGACAGTGCCTACACTGTGACTCATTTGCCACATGGCACACCCACCTGTGTCGGACACAGCCCTGTGCCAAGAGTAGCCCAGCAGAGTGGAGGCTCAATAAATATTGGGTTGGCCAAAAAGTCTGTTTGCTTTTTTTCCATACAGTGGCTCTAGTAGCACTTAGTTTTCCTTAACTCCTTGTGAAACAATTTTGTTAGATTGTATTGTGACAGCTGTCATATCAGTATGCACTACAAAAAAAAAACCTTACCAAATTGGTGACTTTTTGTGTAGCCATTTTAATATTGAAGATGAAAGAAAATATGCAACGTTTTTGACATATTATGTTTTACTATTTCTAGAAAGGTAAAAACCCAACTGAAATGCAAAAAAATATTTGTGCAGTGTATGAAGAATGTGCTGTGACTGATCAAACATGTCAAAAGTGGTTTGTGAAGTTTCACGCTGCGGATTTCGCGTTGAACGATGCTCCACAGTCGGGTACTGCAGTTGAAGTTGACAGCGATCAAATTGAGACACTAACTGAGAACAATCGACGTTGTATGACACAGGAGATTGCCAACATACTCAAAAGATCCAAATCAATAAAGTTATTGGTGAAGATGAAAAGTATGTCTTTTATTTTACAGAAAAAAATTAAACAGACTTTTTGGCCAACCCAATATACTTGTTGAAGGAAAGCCTGCAACTCAGAGCACCTGGGCCTGGATTCTGCCTCTGCCTCTCAGATGCCCCACTGCGCCTCCATTTCTTTGTCAAAAGAACCAGGAGGGCAGGAAAGGTCTCTGGGGATGCCTGAGGCTTTGAGTTAGCACACCCCACTCATGTCCACCAGGGGGCAGCAACGAGGGCCTTGAGAATAAGGTGATGGCCATCCTCTCAGTCCTTTCCCTGTCCTGGCCTCTAGAGCTGCCTCCCAAGGCCGCTTCAGGACAGACTGCTCAGAACAGGAGGACTTGAAGGAAGGGAGAGAGGAAGATTGAGGACCAGCCCTCCACAGTCTTAGGGGCCCTTACACATGATCCATCACATTATCTTCAGCAGGCACGCCCCCCATACAGAGGAGGAAAGGAAGTCCAGAGAAGCCAACTGCCTGGCCCAGAGCCTCACAGCTGGAATAGAAGTAATGGCTGTAATAACAACACTGAACACATACTGGGCAAATGCTGAAGCTTGAGCATCAGAACAATTCTGAGTTATTTTTTGCTTCTCTGCCCATTTAATAAATTTGGAAACTAAAAGTACAGTGGGCCTCTCTCCACGGTTTCCCCCAGCAACTCCCTCCTACACCTCTCACGTGTCTGGCAAGCTGGCCCCAGGGTGTGGGGTAGCCCCTCACCTGGATGTGCATCCTGGCCCTGCGCAGAAGGCTCAGTGTGGTGTAGCGGGCACAGTCAGCCCCCAGGGGCATCTGCTGCTTCAGCTGCTCCAGGCACCGCTTCAGCTGGGCCCTCCTGCAGGGGAAGGGGTCTGGAGGGCAGTGCCAGCCCAGCCTTGCTAGCCAGAGGGCTGACAGGGGAGGAAAGGCCAGAGGGAGGCAGTTCCTGGACCCAGTGCTGTCCAGGCATGGCTGGGACTCACCTGCGCTTCTCCAGCTCGTTGTGCACAGACCTGCCAATGCCAGGGAGCATGGGGTGAGCAGGCATCAGCTGGTGCCCATATCCTCAGTCCCAGGCTCCCGGGGGCTCAAAATGCACTATGGATCTCTATTCCAAACTAGCTCAGTATGGCAACCATGTGCCTCAGGCCCCTGAATTGTCAGGTGGAGGCAGAGACGCATGGGCAGGTTGGGGGTTGGGGGGAGGTGCAAACGCTGTGAGAGGCCCATTTAGGGGGCTGTGGAGCCCAAAGACCGCTACCAGTAGTCAGGAAGGGCTTCCTAAACAGAGGTGACAGTTGAGCGGAGCCAGAAACACAAGTTACCCAAAGTGGGTAGTGGAGGGAGAGACACTCCAGTTGGAGGGAGTGGCATATGTAAAGGGTGGAGACAAGCAGAGAAGAGGAAACAGTGGTGTGATGTGTGGAGCGCAGGAGTGTGGGCAGAAGTGGGGCACAGAGCTGGCACTGTGATGGGTGCTCAAGGACTAGTGCCTGAATGAAGAGAGGGTATGTGTTTGGGGATGGGGAGATGGCAAGAGGGGTCTGAATGTCTCCAGAGTAGGGTACCTGGCCCAGAAGATGCAAGCAACAAAGAGGAAGTGGGCTGAGGAGGGGTCTGAAAGGGACAGCGCCCATCCCCCGCTCCCCGTTGCCCTCGGTCCTCCTCACCGCCCACTGTCCAGCGCTCCAGGAGCTTGGGGGGACCGCTTCCTTTTCCTGTGGCCGGGGCCCGGACTTCTGTGCGGGCACAGGGACGCGTATCCGTGCTCAGCCTCTGCCAGAGACAGTCCCGGTCCGCGTCAGGATGGAGCTGGTCCGAGCGCGGGCCCCTGGCACGGCACGGTCAGGGAGGGGCTTTTCGCGCCAGGGCCATTCTCCCAACACCTCCCAGCCCGACTGCAGACCTCTCCAGTCGAAGACGGGAGTGCCACGGGGCTACTGCCTTAAAGCCAAGTATGCATCCTGCAAGTTGGGAGCCAAGTCCAACCGAGGCCCGTGTCAGCAAGGTCGTCGCCTGGAGTCCAGCCAAGGGTTTTGCCTCACCTCTCTCGCGGCGTTCCAGGAACTCGGCTGCTTGCAGCAAGACCTGGATGTTGCTGGCCACGGGTTCCATGTTGGCTACAGCTGGCGGCGGGCGAGCTGGAGTTGAGGGCCGCCGAAGCAGCAGCACCACTTTTGTTACAATGTAACTGACACGGTGCCACAAACACAGGCGCCCGGCCCCGCCCCCTCCCCCTGGACGCCCCGCCCGCAGGATGGCCCGGCTCTTGGACCCGCCCCTCTAGAACCCGCCCCGAACCGCAGCCCAGCCCCCAGCCGCCCGCCCCCTCGGACCCCTGCGGTGTCAGTACCTACATCAGCTCTAGGTCCGGCCCTCGGGCAAACCCCAGTCTGAGGGTTAGTGTATCTTGCTCGCGTTGGTAAGCGACCCCGCGATGGCAGGGAGGTGTCTCTGGGCCTCAGTTTCCAGACCGTGCGGACAGCTAGGGCGCCACACAACAGAGCTCTGGGGGGCCTGTAGTCTCCGGAGGCCCCGGGACTCGCAGATGCACGTGGGCGCCGCGGGGGCAGGGAGGGTGAGCGCCGTTGCCCATTGGCGGGTCGCCTCCTGCGGCTCACTGTCGTCACCTTCGGGGCGGGGCGGGAGAACCTCTGAGGTACTATTGGCTGCACGCGGCTCCGCCCTCTCTCGCTGCTGGTCTACCCTTTCGGGCGGGAAAAGGAGCAGGTTTCAAATTTGAAAACCGGGGCGGTGGGGGCGGGGCTGAGCGGGAACCGGTCGTAGTGCGCAGGCGCCCGGGGTCCCGCTCTGCTTGCGGGAGCCTGTGCCCTGGTCTACCGGCTGTCAGCCCCCGTGATCCCAGCTGGGCTTCCCTATTGTGGCGAAGGGGGAGCTTCTCCTCCTCACCTGCCCGGAAGCTAGTGTCGCTAGGAAACGTCAGCAGGGTACCGAGGGAAGTAGGCAAACTGGCCTGCTGGAGAGTCCTGGGCCCTGAAGCTGTTAGAGTTGGGCTCCTCTCCTGTCACCAGTGCTTCTCAGCTCTGTGACTGTGGAAGTGACCTCCCTCCTGTAAGCTCGGGAAGCCCTGCAACAACAGCGTTGTTGCAGGATCAGAGCCCACGCCCGTGAGCTGCCCAGGAGGTAGGAGCTGCTGATTTCCTCGCCCCCAGGGACCACCAGAAGCGGGATTCTTCCGCCTCCAGAGCCCCTGGTTACATCCTACCTCCCCCAAGGAGTAGCTACAGTGACGTTGAGGGGCAGCAGCAGTAGAAGCAGGTGTGGCCACACCTGTGGGCACACTTTTACTGGGAAGAAGACCTGTCCCCGGAGCCGGTCTGCCTAGGGGGGCTGGCAGTGTGTGGGTTCTTGACTTTGTACAGGAAAGATTTCACAGCTTGAGTCCAGGTGATTTTGAGAGTATGTTTATGAGAGCTGAGGACAGTGAAACAAAGAAGGACCTAAGATAGAAGCAGCAACTCAGGCGGGGCTGCCTGGCTCTCCAGAAACGTTATAGGAAAGAAGTGAGCCTGGTGGGGCTGCTGTCAGCTCACTGGGAAGTCAGAGAAAAGGGGTCCTGGGGACAGGTTCAGGGGGTCAGCCCAAAGCAAGCTGTAGCTGCCCATTGCTCCCCTGGTTGCAAGTCTCACGGGGTCCCTTAGAGTTGAGGAGATGCATGCCTGTTGTGGAAGAAGAGGGAAAGGAGAGGCACAGGAGTGCCCTCGCGCTGGGGTCTTCATCTTGAGAGTTTTAAAGGCTGGGAGTTTAGGGAAGGTCTCAGGGAAGGATCTCAATAGAATGTTCATCAGTTCTTCCAGGTATGTCTTTTCAGAGAGATGGTCTCCACTGACTGGTTGGCGCCAGGGCAGAAGTCTCTGTTCGTTGCAGCTGGTCCTGGCATTGCCCACCTGGTGTTGCTGCTTTTCTGGGCCTGGAGCTGAAACACAACTGAGGCCTAGAAGTTATCTCTGGAGAGGAAAGGTCAGGGGATCGAAACCACAGAACCAGCCCTATGCCAGGGGAGGAAAGACCTCCCCTGGGGGCAAGATCCTAAGCCAGTTTGCCCATTGCTAGGCACCTGGGGCTTTCCACCCTGGTGACCTGCATCTGTCTCTGAGTTGTTTGGTCAGCTTGTTTAGCTGTCTGGTCCAGTTTCCTTATTCCACTCACCAAGAAGTTTTCTTAGCTTCTTACTGTCCTGCCTCACAGAGACTGTCTAAGGGCGGAGGCAGGAAGATGAAAGCAGGTGTTACAAGGTGGGGCACTGCTGCCAGAGTGGGGGGCTGAGTGTGAGACCCAGCAGTGGGGCGGGGGAGTCGTGAATGAGTTGGGACCATTCTTGATAGACATAGTGCCGAGTGAGCACCCAACACATGGAAGTCGGTTCTCAGTTTCTTGGAAAAAACCTTGGAGTTTCTTAAAGAGTCACTCCCCGAGAAATCATAGACAAGCTCAGCCAAGAAACGAGCCATTCACCACCCAGTGTGAGCTCTTTTTAATGGAACTAATTACATCTGTAAAGACCGTGTTTCCCAATGTGGTCATGTTCTGGATGGACGTGAGATTTTGAGGATGGATACTATTCAACTCACTCTTCCATATATTCTACCCCTTATAAAAAATAACATATATGGAGTCACATCAAAAGGGAGTGCCATCCTAAAGGGACTGTCTTGCAGGTCTGATTTCTCAATGTTAAAACTGGACAAAACAACCTTTGCACAGGGCCTAAAGCAGCATTGTATTCCAAACAAATGTTTACAAAGATAATGGGAAAGCAGACATTACGACTACCAGACTGAAAATAAAAGGCATTCACTGGAATCAGCATCACTTGCCCTGGCTGATGTGACGCTGGCTTGAACGCCGACCTGTGAACAAAAGGGTTGCTGGTTCGATTCCCAGTCAGGGCATATTCTTGTGGGCCAGGTCCCCAGTGAGGGACATGTGAGAAGCAGCCACACACCAATGTTTCTCGCCCTCTCTTTCTCCTTCCCATCCCCTCTCTCTAAAAATAAATAAAATCTTTGAAAAACCATCTTTCTCCCTCCCCCTTTCTTTAAAAATAAATAAATAATCTCTTTAAACAAACAAAAACAGACAGGACAGAAGCCTGTATCAGGCTTGTTTCACATCAGGGGAAGGGGAACTAGGGGAACAAGAGGTGACAGGGACAACTGTGAAACTTCTTTGTTCTTAACCTGTCAACTCAGTGTGAGTCCAGTCACCCAGTTCCTGCAAGTCTTTGATAATCAATTTCTTTCAAAAAATATTTTACTTATAGAAATAGGGGAAGGGAGAAGAATATCAGTGTGAGGTTGCCTCTCATGTGACCCCTACTGAGGGCCTGACCCATAACCCAGGCATGTGCCCTGACCTGGAATCAAACCAGTTACCCCATGGTTTGCATGGTCTACACTCCATCCACTGAGCCACACCAGCTAGAGCAGACAACCATTGCTTTTGTACACACTTCCTTTATCTCCTCAGGAGAGGCACTTACTGGTAAGGGGCTGTTTTTGGAAAACTCAAGCCACAAGAGGAGGAGCTCCTCCAACGATTAGTGTGTCATTACTCAAGACAAAGCAGGGGCTGCAGGCCTGTGGGCGGGCCATGGGAACAGAGCAGCATGAACAAGATGACGTCAGAGAGGCCCAGCATTTCCTCGTGAGGCTGCTTGAAGCACCCCTCGAATTCCCACGGTGATCCCCACGGGGCATCTCCCCAGTAGGCCAGTTTTCCGCTGCGCCCTGCCGGACCTTGAGGCCAGGCCACCGGCCACCACCTACCAGTTGATTGGTTTTGACCTCTGCCATCGAAGTGGCGGCCTTCCAACCAGGAGCAGTGCGTCCGCCGTGGGACCACTCGCCACAAATCGGGCAGCTTTTCTCTGTCACTGATGGCTGTTCGCTGGGACTGCCCGGGCAGTGAGGGGGTGGGGGGAGGGCAAAGGAGCTCCCTGACCCTCAGGTCCTCCTGGCGTTGCGCTGGTGGCAGGTTCCTGCAGAAGCCATTTCCATTTTGCAATGGACACTTCTGGACATTGTCCTCCCGGACAGCGTTTCTCCATCACCCAAGGCATTGTGGGTATTTCAAGTTTCAAGGTGTTTTTGTTGTTGTTGTTGTTTAATTTTTTTTTATTGTTCAAATACAGTTTTCTGCTTTTTCTCCCACCCCTTCCCACCTCCCCAGCTCTCCCCTGGTTTCACGGATTTTTCTGTCCTTAAGTCATAGGGGAAATCTCAGTGAAAGTCCAAAGCAAACTGGTTGGTAATTGTCTCTCCTAGGGAAATTCTCTGGTCCCGAATTCCAGCAGTTGCCACTAGGTGACACTCACAGGCAGTTGCCTGAAGCTCCAGCCCCACTCTGCATCTTGGGCTGTATCACCACAGACACCTGCCGCTCCTGACGGAATGAGGGAATCAAACCCTCGACCTTTTGCTTTGTGGGATGATGCTCAAACAACTGAGTCACACTGGTCAGGACTATATTTTCTTGTGTACTGTAATGTTGTTTCTTTTTAGAAGACTTTATTTATTTATTTATTTTTAGAGACAGGGGAAGGGAGGGAGAAAAAGGGGGAGGGAAACATCAATGTGAGGTTGCCTCTCACACACCCCCTGCTGGGGACCTGATCTGCAACCCAGGTATGTGCCCTGACTGGGAATTGAACCTGCAACCCTTTAATTTGTAGGCCAGCACTCAGTCCATTGAGCCACACTAGCCAAGGCTTGAATGCTGTAGTTTTATAGTAAGTCTTTAAATCAGGCCCTGTAAGCCCCCAAATTTGTTCCCTCTCTTCAAAATTATTTTGGGTTTTCATATAAATTTTAGGATATAGAAGCAAGCAAACAAGCAGATAACCTGACCGGATAACAATTAGGATTGCTTTGAATCTACAGATAAATGAGACATGAATGAAATATTTTTTTAAAGTGTACTTCATTGATTATGCTATTACAGTTGTCCCATTTCCCCCCTTTATTTCCCTCTGCCCTGCACACCCCCTCCCACGCATATTCCCCTCCCCCTTTAGTTCATGTCCATGGGTCGTACATATAAGTTCTTTGGCTTCTCCATTTCCTAATCTGTTCAGAACCTTCCCCTGTCTATTTTCTACCTACCATTTATGCTACTTATTCTCTGTATCTTTTCCCTCTCTCTCCCCAACCCCAACAGCGGTTGATAACCCTCCATGTGATCTCCATTTCTGTGATTCCATTCCTGTTCTAGTTGTTTGCTTAATTTTTTTTTCATTTTTGTTTTAGGTGTGGTTAATAATTGTGAGTTTGTTGTCATTTTACTGTTCATAGTTCTTTTCTTCTTTTTCTTATATAAATCCCTCTAACATTTCATAAAATAAGGGCTGAGTGATGATGAACTCCTTTAACTTGACCTTATCTGAGAAGCACTTTATCTGCCCTTCCATTCTAAATGAAAGCTTTGCTGGACAGAGCAATTTTGGATGTAGGCCCTTCCTTTCATGACTTGGAATACTTCTTTCCAGCCCCTTCGTGCCTGTAAGGTCTCT